CGATTCCGGTTTATATAAACGACGATAATTACATCCGGATATTGAATCGAACTTCCAAGCCGCGCTACTCTCTGAAAACTGCAGGTGAAATTACGACGTTTTTATTCTCCAATTAGGAACGGCTCGCTACACCGTAAGGACAAATTATCGCAATACACGCCATTAAAACGTCGCTCGCGTTACGCACACATTCGTGCGCACCACAAGTTGCCAGTTTGTAATTTGTATCTTGGCTATCGAACAACGATATGCACGCAACGCACGCGTGTAAGTTAGATTCCCCAATAGCATAAATATCGCGTATTGACCGGTTTACATATTTTACGCACGATATCACTTTATTCCAAATAATATCATCTTCTCATGCATACGCCTTCCTGGTGACTTTCCAGGAAAAAATGCAGCGAATAAGAAAAACAGGAATAACGGGACCATCGAAGGACAAGCGATGTGAATATATTTTTATAATCAATCCTGAAGATATGGAGATACACTAAGCAAAGTTGGAAAACCCAGAATCTTACGAGAGATCTTGCCTGAATGAAAACAACAAGTTTGAAAATCGCGAGTCATAGTTGCGATATATAGATGCGAACATATATAGTCGCTGATTAAAGGTTGCAACACTTTCTCTGGATAAAACAGTAGGAAAATATTGCTACCTCTGAGCAGCTAATTAAATATTTTTTTTTATGCAATTCAGAATGCAGCCAATGATCCAACGAGAGAACTTATTTTTAAAAATTCTCAGAAGTTAAGTTTTCTCACTGGACATCGGTTACATACTGAATTATATCCAAAAAACTGTTTTGAGATTTAACGTACAGTCAATAAAAATAAGGCTTTTATCTTGATGGATTTCAGAACTTATCCAACATGATCCAACATTATCCAATTTTAACATGAGATGTTGTTTTTCAATAATTCTTAAAAGATAAATTTTCCATTGGATATTAGATTTATCTTAAGATTCGTCAAGATAAAAATATTATAATTTTTCTTTCACTAATTTTATATAAACTCGTCAAAGGCAAAAAGGCCTGAAAGTTTAGATGAAAATTTTAGCATATATGAAGTATGAAAATTGTGTATTAGATTTTAAAAAGACGCGGTACTTGAAAATTTTACCAACATAACTGATAACCAACAAGATACTGACATTTTCCCACAAAATTTACTTCGTATCAGTTGCACAAAATTACAAATGCTTTTACAGAATAAAGATACGTGCAAAAATGGATTGGAGCATTGCTCAATGTGTAATAAAAATGTTAAAAAATTTAGAAGTTAATACGTCGAACTCTCAGCACCCTCTTAAGGAGATATCAAAATGACGAAAATGTCGATAACATACACAGGTAATATACGGCCAAACATAAACATATCAAATAAACACTTTCTAACACGATGATGCCACCCTTTTCGCATTTCTTGTAAATATAGATCTCATATAAATATGTGTTGCTCCATTTTACCGTATACATATTTAACGAAAAAGTTAATCATGCGTATAGAATTTTTCTGTAAAGTTTACATATATTTTTAAACTTCTAAATTCAGTCATAAAAGTAAAATATCTCGAGCTGCCAGTTAATATAAAAATTTATCCAATATAATGTAATGTTAATATAAAGATTTGTTTAATACAGAAGTTCTGCAGTTCATGCAGTTTGAACACTCGAAAAAATTGCAAAGATTATTGCTATATCTTTGCAACGAATTCAGAAAATTAAAAATATATTAAAGCATTGTTTAATATGAGGCAAAAACGATAAAAACTTTAAAAGTTATAACATCTCGAGCTATTAATTAATATAAAAATTTGCCTGATACAAAAATTCTGCAGGTTGTATATATGGAAAGTGTGATTGTTCCTCTCGGGAATATTTAAAGAAACATTACTGTATAAATACAAATGAAATTAGAAATTAAGAAAAAGAAAAAAACGAAAAGAAAGATTTGCAAAAAAATTTTCATATACATGATTAAGTTTTCTGCTAAGTATGATGGAACAAGATAGTACACGCTTATATAAAATTTATATAAGTAAAAAAAAACCTAATACCAATTTTTCCTATCCACTCTATTATATTAGCTTGATTCCTCTTATATTATATCTATTCTCAACACTGAGAAAATGTTAAAGTTCAGCATGTTTTAAACGAGAGAAAAATTTCTAAGGATTCTTGACATTTATCTCCGACGTCGTGGAACATCGAGGAAAGTAATGCAGTAGAACACCACGCCATAACACACCAATTGACAGCACTTTCACAGAAGTTACGAAATGTCTGATTCGCTTAATGCCTAATTTGCCATTTGCTGTTCACGCAGACGATCCATTGGATTGTCTCCTCGCGTAGTTAGTGGATAAAACTTTAAACAAATTCCGGTATTGTATCGAATCTTGCGTAATTGTCGGGAGGAAACTTTCTATTTTTCTCTGTTATTTGTCACTCGCGATCGTGACAATTATAAAACCGTAAAACATGTGCGTATCAACACATTCGTAACCGTTTTCGGAAAGTTCGTGATTCGATCGTTGTTGTCACTTGGTTCTTCCACTACACAACATTTGCGGACTATATTGTAAATATCGTATGTGTCCGATATTTACATCGTGCATATCCCAGGATACCTTCGACCACTCTCTCGCGAAAGATCGTCGCATTTGTGTATTACGATAAGCGAGAACCTCGGGCAGGGAAAAAAAATATCACGCACACCATAAGAGAAAAGCGAGATCCAACGCGAAGAGTAAAAAAGAATGCGAATAAATCGCGTCAGGACGCAGCATGAGATTCGACGACGACAACGACATACCTCCGCTATAGATCCTAAATTGAATAAACGTCGCAAAAATATTACGTATCTGGATACGTAATATTTTTGCGACGAATAGATAGGAAGAATAGATGGTGACGCGAATGCGAGATTATCTTAAAGGAATTTGTCTGCTTTCAGGCCTTTCCTTTTTTCTCGTGATTTTTCAAAACGAGAAGTTTGCGATCGGTTTTAGTTTGGTTCCTGAATTTGAAAATTTGGATTTTGCAAAGTTCAATACTAGAAATAATTGTAGTAATAATCTTTGTTCGCAGTCCTTACTTCATAATCACAAGAACCACCGCTGATTTCCTGAACGTGACGGCTAGTATCGCACACCCTGTATACACCGTATGCGTATAGTGCGCGTGTGTTAGTTATCGGACCGATTATTCGTTCTCTATGGTTTCCTCTCTTTTTTCTCTTGTACCAGCTGTCATGGGCGGCAACGATATCCGACCAGTCATCGAGGCAGACTTTACGCCCGCGGTGAAACCGGTGCGGGCACGATATCAAATTGAATGAAATGCACTGTGCACTGTAGACTGATCCTATCGGAAGTTCCGCGGACGCGGATGATTCGCCTCACTCGTTGTTATGTTCGCCCGATGATCAGCGCTATCGATTATCTGGACAACGGGCAACGAGATTTTCGGAGACAGCGATGAGAGATGACAGCGGTTCAAACGCAGTTGAACGCATAATTGTTCTCGGCTTTTCTCTTCCCCTATTCCCTTCTTCTTTCCTTTCGAATTCGTACTACGAGATTTCCATTCGAGTCAACTTCTTTAAAGAACAAAAATTCATTTCCGATCGGATTTTACAGAACGAAGCTCTGAGACTTGCAGGGAAACTTAATTCGATCTCTTTTATCGATGACGACAACGATGGAATTTTCACTGACTGATCGGGAAAGATTTCATCTTCTCAATGTATTATTTTAGTTTCAACTACGTTTAATTAATGTTCGATACAATGTTTGATTCGGTGTAAAATATAAATTGGCACCGAGTTTCGAAATACGAGCCGTAATTTCCATATAATACGATCATTTTATAGGTGCCGAATCCATTATCGATAGTGGCATGCAAATTGACCGAAATAGGTAAAGTTTATTTTCTGGATTACAAAAACAAATATGAATGAAAAAAAAAGTTAAAAATTAAACCAAATGACAATTAATTAGCAAAATTGTGAACATTAATTTCTATGTAATTTGTCGCTCATCTATAATAAAAAAATTAACAATTGATAATTGTTTGTACGTTAAAAAAATAATATTTGAGGCAATACTTGAGACTGATAGCAATTTTAAAATATACAAATTAGACCAAGAAGAATTCTTACTTTAATATTTTGACAACAAACTGTCTTTTATCTTTTTCTTTATCTTCATCTTATTTTTTATTTTTATTTTATCGTCATCTTATTCTTTGTTATTTGCCTTTATCTTTATTTCTATCTTTATATTTATATTTTTATTTTTCTTTAATTTTATCATTATCTTCATATTTATATTTATCTTTAACTTTATATAACTTTATTACCTTTATATAACCTTATTTTTTATCTCTAACCTTTATCTTTATTTCCATCTTCATTTATATTTTTATCTTTATACAAAAAACTCTACCGATTAAGTCAATCATAAGTTAGGGCACTATTATAGTAATATATTCTTGATAATAAATAAAGTAAAAAAGTCTAATACTATTTTTTTCTTTCGACGAATAGTTTGCGAGATATCGTAAATTAAATGTTGAAAAAGTTACCAAGTTTTCCTTAAATATCTCAAAAAATATTAGGCAAATAAAAAAATGTTTCAGATAAAAGTTGTTAAAATTAATTGGTAAAAAGATAAGGTATAATAAAAAATTGGGCTTTCTATTTAAAAAAATTAAGTTGACTTTCAACTGACCTTGAAAATGTCCTTTAAATAAAAAACTGATAATACCATTCTCTTTTCCCTTCGAAATCATGGAACACGTGTTTTTGTTTTTTTTAATATGTTTTATAATTTTCGAGATTTTTTACCTGGTACGTTTGAAATTTAGCACTCTGTATGTTACAGTAACTTTTTCTACTGATTAATTTACGTCATGTTTTATATTTCTCACGATTTACACTTCATTTTTCCTTCACGAAATTAAATCGAGAACTACTTATTTGTGTTGCAGCTGTCTGGATTAGTAGTAGGTGGAATTGGTATCTGGACAGTAGTATCGAAGCACAGCTACGTGTCTCTGATGTCCACCTCGACGTATCCCACTTTGGCTTACGCTCTGATCGTAGCAGGTGTATTGGCTGTCATCGGTAGCTGGCTTGGGTGCGGCGGTGTAACCTCGGAAAATCGATGTATCCTCCTTATAGTAAGTTCTACTCACATATCATCACTCCTCTTTGTATATGGGGCATTCTCTGTCAAATTTGACACTCCCTTTGTCCACAAATTGAAGCAACAAAAAAAACAAAAAAAACCTGGGCTCATTTTGAAGCTATGGATGTGTACTTTCATTTAAACCGTGGCCTTTTCAGAAAACCAATATGACAATTCCAATATGGCGGCTTGAAGTCGGAAAAAATAATAGGAAATTTATTATTACCTGATTATATCTTTCATATCAGGTAAAATTCATAAAATAAAATGGTTTCTGAGAGTTTTCGAAGATGCTTTTTCCAAATCAATGATTGGATTTTTCATTTAACCTCTTATAAAAGTTAAAAATAAGAGTTGGGTGTTAATTTTCCAAGTTTTCGTGCGCTCAATGCCATTGGTGAGAAAAAAATATCTCAGAGCTATCTGAGTATATTCTTCCACAAACCGATCATTCATCAGTATTTCGTCCCCTAGAAGGGTTAGAAATAAGGATTGAGGTGAATTTTTAAAAGAATTTCGTACACGTAATGCCATTCGTTGGTAGGGAAAAAATATTTCAAAGCTATTAAAATGTATTCTTCGAGAAACCAATGTTCTTTCAGCAAATTGCTTTCTAAGAGGGTTGAAAATAAGGGTTGGCGAAGATTTATACAGATTTTTGTGCTCTTAATGCGATTCGTTGGAATAAACAGAATATTTCTGGGCTTTATGAAAAGATTTCGAAAGGAGCCAATGTTTCTCCAGCATTTTACCCTCTGAGAAGAAGAAAATTAGGGGTTGGGGCTGACTACTGGTTGGTTTTGTGCACTCGATGCCAATCGTTGGAAAGAACAAAATATTATCGGAGCTTGATCGGGGGATTTCCCTTGAAGCTGATGTTCCTTCAGATTGTACCCCTCTAAAAAATGTGAAATCAGAGATTAGGACAGTTTGTTTTGGTTTTCGTGAATCGTAGACCTTATCTGAAGAGACATTATGCTTGAAATAATAAAATTTGAGACTTGGTGCGTAAAAGTAGAGAATAGACCTATTGAAAATCTATTTTCAATATAAAAAATGGGATTTCTGCTTTCTTTCTCTTCAAGAATTATTTTAGTTGAGAGAGATCATATAAAATTTTTCGTTCATTTCGAATTTTCCAAAGAAAATTGTGTACCGTGAGTAACATTAGAAAATCGTTTGATTAATAATAATATTTTGTTCTCTCCAACGATTGGCATCGAGTGCACAAAACCAACCAGTAGTCAGCCCCAACCCCTAATTTTCTTCTTTTCAGAGGGTAAAATGCTGGAGAAACATTGGCTCCTTTCGAAATCTTTTCATAAAGCCCAGAAATATTCTGTTTATTCCAACAAATCGCATTAAGAGCACAAAAATCTGTATAAATATTCGCCAACCCTTATTTTCAACCCTCTTAGAAAGCAATTTGCTGAAAGAACATTGGTTTCTCGAAGAATACATTTTAATAGCTTTGAAATATTTTTTCCCTATCAACGAATGGCATTACGTGTACAAAATTCTTTTAAAAATTCACCTCAATCCTTATTTCTAACCCTTCTAGGAGACGAAATACTGATGAATGATCGGTTTGTGGAAGAATATACTCAGATAGCTCTGAGATATTTTTTTCTCACCAATGGCATTGAGCGCACGAAAACTTGGAAAATTAACACCCAACTCTTATTTTTAACTTTTATAAGAGGTTAAATGAAAAATCCAATCATTGATTTGGAAAAAGCATCTTCGAAAACTCTCAGAAACCATTTTATTTTATGAATTTTACCTGATATGAAAGATATAATCAGGTAATAATAAATTTCCTATTATTTTTTCCGACTTCAAGCCGCCATATTGGAACTTAATTATACGCTAAATATTTACTTTATTTTAAAACTTCTTCAATGACAGGGAATTACAAAAAAAGTAAAATTATGACTTAAGAAAACATGCATGAAAACGTTGGCAAATCCGATTATATTAAAACTTTTTGATGACAACTTTACCGATAATTGCTACATTTGTAGTATATCATTGTATTAAACGTCATTGACTCGACGTCTTTTTGTTTAAATTCTGAATCTATTAAATAATTTGCATGATAATTCACAGAAGTAATTCAAAAATTAATATATATATAATATATATATATATATATATAAAATATTAAAATAACATAACTGTCATTTGTATCATATGTCTTCATCAACATTGTTTCAGAATTGATTTTCAAGCACGAATTACTTTTTGTATGTGTCTTCGTGGTATTATCATTGAAAATAATTAATTTTTGTTGCTGGTCTTTTTTCCGACGAAACTATTTCCTTCAGACATTAGCCAAATGAATAGACATAACTTCTACTATTCGTCAAATGAAAATCCCCGTTGGCAAGATGTTCTATTTCAATATTAGTCACTAAATATATGATGCGGAATTATTGAAAACGATGTGATTGGAACCATACTTCTTCGAACAGTCTTTAACAAATATTCCTCATGCTGACTTTTTAATAAATGTTCTCCTCACGCTTCTAAAAAATATTCCATTTGACATCAGAATTAAAATATGGCCCGAGGATGATGGTACCTCAGTATATTTTGCTAGAAATACACGTATGTTATTGGACCAAAAATTTGGAAATAAATGGATTGGACGCAGCAAACTTATTTTGTGTCCACCTCGATTATTAAATGTATCTCGATTATTATATCTATATATTAGATTTCTTTTTATGGGGCTACATAAAATATAAAATGATAGATAGTACTTCTACAGTAAAAAAAGATATAAAAATAAGAATATGTAGATCATTCCATTAATGTTATCAAATATCTAAAACAATATTTACGCAAACGTGTATTAAAAGTCCGTATGGACACTATTTTGAATATTTAATAAAATGATTTTTAAACCAGAATACATTTGCTTTGGTTTTAAATTCAGTTATTTTGATATCCAACGTTGCCCCGAAATCACCCTGAAAATATATTCTTTTTAATAACTTTTTTATAATGCAAAATAAAAATAAATATTTTAAATAAATGTTATTAATTTTTATAAGAGCTATCCGAATCAAAAAAATTATATCCTGTTCCATTAAAAAGAAATGAGGGTTGCTTCTTTAAAAACTCTTTACAAAAATCTTTTTGTCAAACAGTCAAACAGTCAATCTCCATATGTCCCATTTAATGTAAAAAAAATCAAACTCATATCTCCAGTGGTTTCAGAGAAAACAGCTTATAACAAGTTAACAGCTTATAACAAGTTTAGTCCACCTTATATGTTAAATACTCGATTGAACTCGCAATATAACTAAACAAAGGATAATATTTATACAAATGCAAAATTAATATTTCTTTACTTTCGATTTTGATCTTGGTCTATATTCATATAATAATATATAAAACATGTATAAATAGTGTATAAGACATAAAGTGAAATCAATCAAATATTAGTGACTAGAATAATATAAATCTACTACTACTAGAATAATCTAAACCAAGTAACCGAACGTGTGTAATTCAATGAAAATTACAGCTCAATATATAAAGCTACTAAACAGACTTTATATTAACTAACATACAGTACATACCATTGAGACATCGGTTAGTTTTTAACATAATTTAATTGTTCACCTCTTTTCAAATTACAATTCTACACCAAAAGATGGAAAGAATATTTATTGTAAACGTTCATAAATCGATTACCGTCGATATGAATGAAACGTGACGCCTCTCTCCGATATTTCCACTGCACGCTGATTATCATATTGCGCACTCGTCCCGATATTCTGCGCGTCCTGATTAATAATGATTCACGAACGCTATAAATAACACGAGCTTCTCCACCGAGACTTCAAGAGAATTTATTTACGCTGGTTATCATTAATATCGTTCGTGGGTAGTCTCAAGAAGAAGTTCGTTCAAAGTAGCCTGAGCATGCTCCACGAGAAGTCGAGTCGAGTTCTTTACCTACGAGCTCAAACATTCCTTTGACTTAGCCGAGCGGTTTGAACATTATTGCTCGGGGCAGTCCAGTCTTTGTTGAGAGTTAGTTACGTGACCAGCAGTAGAAGCAAGATGATATCAAAGTGAAGGCAGATAAGTTGTATATAATTAAAAACTGTTGCTCAAAATGAATATAATCGATATCCATATGAAAAATATATCTATCCTGATGTATAACGTGTACATACGTTTACCGCTTAAGTTATAGCAAATAAAAATCGCAATATCATTCTACTGCTTAGAACTTTCATTTTTGTGATAAAACTTATGTTTAGGGCACACACACAAGAGGGGGCGCACTTCCATTGACTTTGTCTTTCACATATATTATAAAGATCATCTTCCTAAGTAACAATCAAAAAGTTTTAGCCGTCGCTTGTTGTTTATTATTGATCAAAAAGTTGTTGACGAAAAAGTTGCATAAAGGGACCATCGCTTTTTAATATTTTATGAAAGTTCTTTATAAAAAATCGATGAGTATATGGAAATAATACATGTATATATATATATATATATATATATATATATATATATATTGTAGTGTACACACAGTGTACTGTATACACAGTGTATGTATTAGGAGGTTGAATTAGTTCTGGTCCCTAGCAATAAATGGCTTTAGTAACAAGTTAATGGTTAATACAAATGTTGAAATTCGGCAACACTGAAAGATTTGATATTTCTCTATGGCATATGACAGTTTGCGCGCTATTTTTACTGCGCTCACTGTTTATATACATCTAAAATAGATCGTACAAAATTGCATTTTCGACATTCATTACTTTTTTTGCTTGATTTGAAAAAATCGGCAACTGAAGCTCATGAAATGCTTATAACTTATGGTGATCAAGTTGCATTGTATTCCAACTGTAAATTTTGGTTTCAACGATTCAAAAATATTGGTCAACCAAAAAGATCGAAAATTCTGAATTGCAAGCATTATTGAATAAAAACCCCTCAAACGGAAAAACAATTAGCTGAACAACTCAATGTCGATAAATCAACAATTTTTAAACGCCTATGCGCCATAGGAAAATTTCAAAAGGAAGGCAAATGCGTTCCAAATGAATTGACAAAAAGTATTATTACAATGTTTGAATATCGCCGTGTTTTTGCTTACTAGACAGAAAAAAGAACTTTTTGTGGCGAATTGTAACTGGAGATGAAAAATGAATTTATTTTGATAATCCAAAGCGGAAATAATCATGGGTTGATCCAGACAACCATCAACATCGACACCAAAACGGAATATTTATGATCATGAAGCAATGCTCCGTATTTGGTGGAATATGAAAGGTGTGGTGTACTATGAACTTCTAAAACCAAATGAAACAGTTACAGGGGAGCAATACCAGCAACAACTGAACAAATTGAATGATGAATTGATGTAAAAAAGGTCAACAATAGCCAGCAATAGACGCAAAGTAATTCTTTTGCACAATAATGCTCGTCCACATGTTGCTTCAATCGTTAAATAAACATTGTTAGCTCTAATGGGAAATCCTTCCGCACCTGTAGCGTACTCTCCAAACCTAACACCATCTGATTGCCATCTATTCCGATCGATGCAACAAACTTTGGCAAATATGCATTTCAATAATTATGAGAATGTAAAAATGGGTATTTGATTGGGTTACTTTGAAAAATAGATCGTTTTATCATCGGGGAATCGCTAGATTGCCAGAAATATGGGACAAAGTCACAGCTAATAACGGAAAATATTTTGATAGATGTAAATTTAACCATTTCTTTAAAATAAAAATAAAAAAATTGACAAAATAAGACCAGAATTAATTCAACTTCCTAATAGTAACTAATCGATCAATAACATACGTTATCGAAGAACCCAAGACAGAATAAGTTATGTTGTTTGCTGAATATTTATATATAACACATATTACATATTTACATTTTCAATATACACGGTGTCGGAAAACGATGGTCTATTTATAAAACGTTTTTTGCTAACAACTTTTTAAGAAACAATAAGCGACAGCTAAAACTTTTTGATTATTCAAAAGAATGGTTCTTATAGTACTATATATAAAAGACAAGGTAATTTCAAATGCCTTCTCTAAATAGAAATGTTATTCTTTTTTGTAATTATTCAAAATATCCACAGATATTTTTAACCTTTGCGCTCCGCTAATTTTTATGCGATATTATAAGTAAGTTTATAAAATTAAATCTATCTTTTTGTACAAAATGATATATGCATATAAAATAATATATGTATATGCGCGGGAGAATGCTTCTTTTCCTACACTTTCTGTACAAAAGTGTACAAACTTTCTGGTACAAAACAAAACCACTTTCTGTAAAAGATTTAAAGCTACTCGTTCCTGCTCACTTCTAAGAAAGCAGACTGCTTCTTTTATCATAGTAACCTCTATTTTTTTTATATTTCACACTATTTGATAATAAAGATGAACTATATTTCTGTAAAGCACCTCTACTTCCGATGCAACGCAGATTCAGTAAAAATGCCGAATAAGGGACCCCGCTCCTATGACCACTCCCTTGACCTTGACATATATTCAAGGACACCTTCCTGAGTAACGTGCAAAAGGTTTTACCCGTCGCTCGTTGTTTGTTAAAAAGTTATTAGCAAAAAAAGTTTGGTTTATGTGTAAGTTGCAAGTGCGTTTAGCACGGTGCGCTACGCGCGCCTCCTGCCCCACCTCCAGTCCTACCCCCAGCTCCACCTCCGCCCCTCCCCCGCTCCTTCCCCGCTCCACCCCCGTCCTTCTCCCACTTCCTCCCCTCTGTGCTAAATGCACTTGCAACTTATTACTTTATCTTTATAAGAAAAAGTTGGAAATGGAAGTAAGGTTAGATTAGATTACGTTATATTGTAGTTCGACCTATTTCTGTTCGTGCTGTGAACGAATTCGTAAACATTTGTTTTGAAACGTCTAGAGGTTGTTGCTGTTGTTCTTAGCGTTTGGGTAATATAGCTTGTTCAGTTATTGGAATGTCTTTATATAGTGAGCATTGTGTAACGAATATTTCCAAAATGCAATTATACGAGTTTATTAATGTTACATGCAATTTCGACTCCATGTGGAATTATTTATGTGAAAAGAAAGTTGTTCGCAGTAGAATATTATGTCCTAAGTGTAAAAACGAATTGAAATTACCGAATAGTGCAGAAAATCGTATTTTTCACTATCTCATAAATATTATAAAGTTGTCAATGGTCGGAAACGATAAAAGATCACTTGTAACTTCAAAATTAGTGCATTTCACGAGACATGGTTTGAACGTGCACATACGGATTTAGTAAAAATTTGTCGCTTCATTGCTTATTTTCTTTATATGTCACCACTACGTAATAGATTTTTAATAAATGAGTTACAAATTAACAATCATTCGGTTGTAGACTGGACAAATTTCTGACGAGAAGTAAGAACAATTTTTATAATTTAAACATCAACGTTACATTTGTAATATGTTGTATTTGCAATTTTCTTCTATTGTAATTATATCCAGATAACACAATATTCTATAAATATTCAATGCTGCATCCAATATGCTGTTATAAGAATATTCTCAACGAAATCATGTATAAATGTTAATAGAATATTTTTATTTTATAGAATAGTCTATAAATCTACTTAAAATATTATAAAACTCGTCGGTAGAAATATTATATTAATATTCCATAAATGTTCACTGAATATAACAAAACTAGTCAGAGTAACTAATTCAAACGAGCACGCCACTCTTGGTCTGTCTTTCTCAGCTGCACTGTTACACTGGTGCGTGTAACAGTATAGCTGAAAAGAACAGACCAATAGAGAGCGTAGTACGAGGAACGATATAATAAACAACATTTGACAGCCCGCTGTGACTAAAGTTAGTCTGATGTTATATTTATATCTTATGCATTTTTTTTGTTTTCCTGCAATAAAAATATACTTGTATTTTTTTGTAGAATAATAAAAGCATGATTTGTATATCATATTGTGTGAAAAATATCAAGGCACCACCACCACATACACATTGCACAATCATTTTTAGAGGTTAAACAAAAATTGCACCAAAATAAATGGCAATACCCTTAGGAAAAATTACTTTAAATTTTCAAATTACTTATAGTTAACTGTAAGTAATTTATAGTTAACTATAAATAACTTTAAGTTAATTGGAACATCTTAAGTAATTTTTCCTAAGGGTACTGTTTTGCAAACGACTGTACAATTTAGATAATTTGTCTTTCAAACATTCTATGACCATTCTATGAACATTTTTGACATAGTATCAATAATCTTCTTTGGATATTATTTGAATATATTACTGCATGTTCTCTTCACTTATATAAAATATTAAAACTAGTCTCATTTTAACATTCTATATATATGCATAAAATATTTTTTTAATCTTATCGGTATATTGTACGAATATTCTAATGTTCTCGAAAAATTTATATAATTTATATAATTTATAGAATATATTTGTGTTATCTGAATAGTTATTTCAACAATAGCTAGTGAAAAATCAAACGTCAATTGGTAGACCACATAAAATTATAGAATTGGATGAAGTCAAAGTTGGAAAACGAAAATATAACAAAGGACGGATATTTTAAGGACAGTGAATTTTTGGTGGCATACAACGAGGAACGAATAAAATTTTTATAGTGCCGGTACCAAATCGATGTACTGAAACTTTGGTTCCTATTATAGAAAAATACGTTGCAGCAGGATCTGTAATTCGCACAGACAATTGACGTGCATATGATGTTTTGCGTCATCATAAAAATTATACACACAAAACAGTTAATTATTCAATTAATTTTGTTGATTCAATAACTGAAACTCATATACAGAACATTGAAAGACTGTGGAAAGAAATGCGAGCGAATATTCCTCGCTATGGTCTGCGTGATTATCATTTCGAACATTATCTAGTCGAGTTTTTCTTTAAAAGAATATATAATTTCGATGATCGTATTAATATATTTTTTGATATTATGAGCAATATATATCCACTAGATACATTAAATGTTTAAATAAAATTATTTAATTCTGCTAAAAAATTCGTGCACAATGTAACGTAACCTAATCTAACCTAACTTTCATTTCCAACTTTTTCCCATAGAGATAAGGTAGTAAGATACAAGTACGTTTAGCACAGGGGGAGGGATTGGCGAGGAACGGGGGAGGGGCGGGGGCGGGAGACGCACGTAGCGCGCCGTGCAAAACGCACTTCCAACTTCCACGTTTATGAAAGATTTTAGCAATAACTTTTTAACGAACAACGAGCGATGGCTAAAACTTTTTGCACGTTACTCAGAAAGGTGCTTGACAACATATGTCAAGGTCATAGAAGCGGGGTCCTCTATTCGGCATTTTTACCAACATTCTATTCAAACAATAAATTAGTTTAAAAAAAATAACAATACATCAAATAATAGTGTATTCTTTATCAAATAATATGATGTAATTCAACAAAATAACGAAATATTTCTTAAATATAAATAATATTCCGTTCAAAACTAATATTTACGTAAATTTATGCTTCAATGCAACAAATTCAAGATAAACAAATAACAATATTGGATCCAAAGAATTCTTTTCCTTCTGGCAAAAAAGAAGGACAATCATGCAATCATGGAAAAATTATCCAATGTTGTTTTAATAGATCCTAATTTCTTTTGTTCTGATCTGTTCCTATTTATTAGTATGTCTTCGTGGTGATGGCGGTTCTGGTGCTGGAAGCTGGAGTTGGTGCTCTGGCGCGTCTCTACGAAGAGCAGGTCGGTCCTGAATTGAAGATGAATCTAAACCGTACTTTCCTCGAGAACTATTCCGTGCGATCCAAGGAAACTGCAGCGATTGACCAAATGCAGAAAGAAGTAAGTGTTCTTATTGGGCAAAATCTCTTATCTATTGCTCAAAATGAATGATACAACCATTGTAAAACTTTTCGTTTCTTTGCATCGTCGCGTGATGTTTTGTTATTTGTTCTTTGGTGCTATTTTATTCTCTATTCTAAGTGGAACATAGATAGCATCGTGTGAATATTTAGTTTAGTTCGGGCACTTTCGTTCTTAGCTCATAACTCCTCGTACGTTCACGTTCGTTTTTCCTCCCTTACCCGACACGATTAACAAGAAAGAACAGAGGATTATCAGTTACAGAAATATAAATATTTGAACAGAAAATAAGTGTGCTCATTTGGACTCCGGATTAAGTATGCAGAAATTCATTATCAGATGGTTTCTCAGTGTGGTTGATTAATAGCACAATAAAAAATTCCACACAATCATAATACACACACAACCAGTAATACAAAAAGGGGCTACCGGATATTCGTCAACTAAATAGAACATACTAGAAATTTCACCAAAAGTTGTAAAGGGGACTAGATAGGTTTATATAACGGATAAAATAACCATATTTTGTTTCTATATTTGTTATAAAAAAACATTGAATAAAGAATCATACACACACACACACACATACACACAAAAGATTTCTTTTACAACAGTGATATGTGTTGCTGAAACAGTCGATTACTTGAAACTCCAAAATATTGAATTAATGTCTCATTGTCCTTATATATCCTTATATGTCCTGATTTATGATCTATGACTTATTATAATTTATCATTATGACTTCTTCCTGTTCCCTATAGTAAAAAATAAAATGCATGGTCAGCGTTTTACAACGTCTAAAGAGGTTGTTGAAGCATATAAATGCATGGTTTGGCTATATCTCGCTTTGAATGGAAAAAGTGTTTCAAAAACTGGTTTGGGCGTATACAAAGATGCATAAATGTTAAAGAGGAATATTTTGAAAAACAGTAAAACTATTTGTTTAAATTTTTCTGTATTTTTTCTCATACATTCCCGAAACTTTTGCAGCAACTTACGTATTCAATATACAAGGGGCCCATAACTCAGTTCGTAGAAACGTAGTGCGAATTAAGACTTAAAAAATAAAAGTCCCATATCATTTTGCGATATTCGCAACAGTTATTGAATTATTAATAACAGGAATCTGACGAGTAAGCGCGCGCCAAGATGAATGATTAGAAAAGCGTTGCAGCTGCTTGGGCCGGTCGATTCAACAACTGTTGACGGCGTGCAGTGAGACGGAGTAACGAGTTAAGACACGAATAGCAGCGCGTTGTCCTTCTTCTTACCGCGCAGTGGCAATTGTTACTGGCTGGATCAACTGGGCCGCACTGTGGGCCAAACGACTGCAACGCTTCTGCAATCATCCATCTTGGCTCTCTCAGATTTCTGTCATTAGTAACTCGATAACTATGCGAATATCGTAAAACAGTATGGGATTTTTATGTTTGTTTTTATCCGCAATGTCTCCACTAATTCCCCGTATTGAGATGTGGGACATTCTATACAGGCTATCCCATTTTAGAAAACGCACCTCGATCATTCTTCAACGAAGCATTTTTAGCAAAAATGTTTTGGACAAAAGTAGTATGATTTCAAGGAGAAATATATAAAAATAACTATACTATTTTATTTACAAATGGCACTACTTTCGAGATATTCACTGATCATTACTTTTCTTAAATGGAAACCCCAATTTTTTATTACACCACTTTTTTCTACCAATTAATTTAAACCACTTTTGTCTGAAATATTTTTCTATTTACCTAATATTTTTTGAGATATTTAAGAAAAACTTGATAACTTTTTCAATATTTAACTTATGATATCTCGCTAACTATTTGTTGGAAGAAAAAGTGGTACTAGACTTTTCTGCTCTATTTAGTCTCAAGAATATATTGTTACAATAGTGCCCCGATTTTTCTTAATTCGATGATTTTGAAATTTCCAAAAGTCAATAAGTTAACAAAAGTCAGGGCGCTATTGTAACAATGTATTCTTGAGACTAAATAAAGCAACAAAGTCTAGTACTACTTCTTGAGAATGCTTTTCTTGAGATTGCTACGACATTAAATATATCCCACACAAGCGTAGAAAAGCATTTACGCCAGCAGGGATATGTTTCTCGGCTTAATGTTTGGATGCCGCGTCAATTAACCGAGGCTAACTTGACCACACGCATATCCATCTGCGATTTGCTACGGAAACGCCAAGAAAATGACCCATTTTTTAAACAAATCGTGACGGGTGATGAAAAATGGGTCGTCTACGATAATGCAATGCGTAAAAGATCATGGGGGCGCAGCAGCGAGCCACCGCAAACAACCTCGAAGGCGGGATTGCATCCGAAGAAAATAATGCTCTCCGTATAGTGGGATTTCAAGGGTGCCATCTATTACGAAATGTTACCGTCAGGCAAAACGATTGATTCAACTGTATACTGTTCGCAATTGACGAAATTGAACCAAGCAATCCGCACAAAACGTCCAGAATTGGCAAATCGCAAGGATGTCGTCTTCCATCACGACAACGCCAGACCTCATACGTCATTGACCACTCGGAACAAATTGCTTCAGCTTGGCTGGGATATTTTGCCTCATCTTCCGTATTCACCGGATCTTGCCCCTTCTGATTATCATTTATTCCGGTCGCTGCAGAACGGTCACTCTATGAACGGGAAAACCTTCAAGGATGAAGAGGCCGTTAAAAACTACCTGGATTGGTTTTTCGCCGAAAAGCCCCAGACGTTTTACGAACGCGGCATAATGAAGTTGGAAGTAGGTGAAAAGATGGCTAGAGGTCATCGATAAAGATGGCCAATATATAATTGATTAAAATCTTATCTTGTGTATCAAAAAATTGTGTTTTATTCTACTCTAAAAAACCAAACGAACTTATTTGCCAACCCAATATTCAATTCTCAACAAGTTGTGGAAAACGCCTTCCGCAATTTTATCGCCACCCGCTGTTCAGGCTTCTTCTCTACTGACATAAATAAGTTACCGATAAGATAACAAAACTATATCGATAATTCAAGCGCATACTTTGATTAATTGTACTATTTCTAGTTTAAGATATAATAAACTAAACTTTTGATTCGAAATTAGACATTTCATATTTAATGACCTAATAATAAAAGAAAGTTAACAAATCAATGCGTACGTCGCTGTAAGACAATTTCTGTAAACGCGAACTCATCAAAAGTAATTGAAATTCAATTTTCTGCTTCTTATTGTTAATGACGATAGCTATCAATTGATAGCTAGAAGCAGAATAATAACAATTATTTGTATGCCACTCGCATTATAGCTCAGCCTTTTATTGCTTGAGCGCACTGATTCGCTAATCTTCTTTTATGAATATCTCTAAATTTCATGTCATTTCACAAAATGACAAGAGTCTTCGTGCTCAAGTTGACGTGCTTTACCTTCTTGCATGAGTTGGGATGTCTTGCGTCAAACACTTTATACCTAACTTATATACTAAGTAGAAGCCTGTGATGCGATGTAAATTTCGCAGAAAAAAGTCATTACTATTTCATTAAATTTTTCAAGTATAGCATCCTCTTAATGTTTGAAAAAATTATTTGCGCAACGTAGAAAATCGCTTCGTAGAAAAATATTCATAGAAAAATTCACGAGTTGGAAAAAAAGCATTTACCATTAATGGATTAAGAAAATTTCATAAAATTATTTTTACGACCAATCCAGAATCGTAGACAACAGCAAACTGCATGTATTGAGGAAGAATCTTAAATCTACGACGATTCAAAATTTGTAGAGCGCGTCGCTGTATATGTAAAGGATCTGTAGAAGTGTTTATCGCGACTAATGGTTCCGGTGCGCGATGAAACCCGCAGGATTACGTGTGCCTACATTAAAGTTACAATTTAACTTGCTGCCGCCGCCGGAACACGTTTCTCACTTCCATTAATCTGCTCTCTCCTCATTCTCCCTCGTCGTGGTCCTTTCCCTTTCCTATACTCTCTCAATAACTGTGCGACGTCACGGCACGTATAACATATCCCGTCGGCTATATTGTTATTATCGTAGGCGGCTATTATCGTTGTTATCGTCGCTATCATCGTCCTCTTTATTGCCTCGTCCGTGTATATTTTATTGCTGTACATACTAGGACATAACTAGAAAATAAAAAAACTGGCTTATCGTTAACAGCAAATTAATTCAGTTTTGTTTATCAGTTTATTCAGTTTTTTCAGTTTATTCAGTTTTTTCAGTTTATTACCCAGTTAATACAACAACGTTGATTCGACATCGATAAGAGTTGAATTGACGTTGATTCAACGTTTCACCAACCATTTCAATGTCAAATCAACGTTGAATCAACGTTATGGTTCTGACAGGGTTTCCTAGAAACAAATGAGGTATTTTCATCATCCAGAAAATTTATATTTATTATTAACAGTGTCGTCCTGATACGTCCTAAGTTGAAAGTTTGATACTCTACATTAACTTTGTAAAATTAATTACCAATAAACTCAAAGAGCCAATGGATAATCTTGAGATATAACATCTCATATAAAAATTGTCGATGTTGTGTAATGGATCTAACATTGGCTCAATATCAGTAACCAATAATCAAAAACAATTTTATCTCAATATTGGCTAACAAACAAGCTCATTATAAAATATAATATTAAAACACTGCAGATTGCAAGATAAACCAAGTTTCGAAATAGATGGCTTCCATATAAATCCAACATTAGGCTATAAATACTGATAATATATAATCGCAATAACTATTGAATTGCTAGATAAATTATTTACTTGAATTATGTAATAACTTATTTCTATTGAAAAAATTTAGTATTTTAAATTTTAATTTTTATATCCAGTAAATATTTTCTAAAATGAAAATATATTCTTTCTTAATATTATGAATTTAATATTTGTTAGATTTACTTTAACATAAATAACCCAGATTTGTTTTAACAATGAAATGAGCAACTAAAACAAATGAATATAACAAATAAATATGAATCTTTTACTCGAATAAATAATTTACGTAATGAAACTTTATATTTGAAATATATATTTATAAATTTCATTTTTATATTGCGTCTTAAAATAATTATTATAGTCTCCATCAAAAGATGTTTCTTGACGTTGATAATTTCGATAGAATTTGGAAATTTGAAAGACAAAAAAGATAGAAAAGAAAAGCAAAGAATAAGATGATAAAAATTTCAAATGCAAAAGTAATAATTGTAAATTTAAAAGCTCTAATATAATATAAATATAAAAAAAATAAAACATTGCTAAATTAAACATGAGGCTTATAAATCTAAGCAGTATTATCGAAGGTACATACAGATACGTACGAACAATATTTATAGTAAATTCTATCTTTTGTTAAGGGACGCAACCATATATGAGCTTGATAAACATATTAATATATATTACAACTGAAGGAATACATTACTATTGAAGCCAATTTCGTCATGGATTCTGTTTCAGCATCCAATTTGATTCGAATTTTTAATTAACAAGTCTTTATCACTTATTTTATCTTTTTTTATGTCTCATAGCAATTAGAATGTTTTTGATACTACAATGCCTAAAAGAAAAAAGGAAGAAACACACGCGTAAGAAGAGTAGTGCTCCAATTTTCTCAATTTCTTTTATAGATCTTATGACATAGAAAACATTATTATTGAAATTTTCAGTTTAAATGCTGCGGCGCCTTGAGATTTGAAGATTGGCTCGTGAGCGAATGGCACAAAGATGAGGAGGTCCTTAAGAACGGTAGTGTCGTACCTGACAGCTGCTGCAAGACGCCGACTTTACTTTGCGGGAAAAGGGATCATCCTTCCAATATTCAATACACGGTATGTCCTTCAGCTCCTTACGGGCTTCTTCAGCTTTTCTGAACTGATTATCGAATATTATTATCAATATTAGTTCAGGTCAAATGCTATACAAACTACATCTATCCAGCTAATTCTAAAAGAAAATCAATCTTGAGATATTTAAAACATCAACTACTATCAAAAATTATTATGACTCTTTGCCTTTCTCAGATTTTACACGATGTTGACAGTTATTTGCTCGTAAGTATTACTAAACTAATAAGGAATATTCGCGAAATATGCATAATCCTGATTTTAATAAAACATACTTATGAATTAATGAAAATTAAACGATATATATATTTTAATCACCTGAAATTCAAGTTTAGAGGATAAAAATATTCTACAACATTTCATCTTTTTTATCCTATTTTGGTAATGATTGGATGATTGGATGTCCTTACACACAAATATTTTATGGCTTTTTGTATAAAATATTATAACCTACATATTAAACACACACTCAATTGAACTTAAGATTAATTAATATACATTTATTTAATCATTGAATTAATTATATTTTATTAATGTCAAGTTCCCATTAAATTATCTTCAAATATATCAATTTTCATTAATTTTTATTAAATTTCATTAGTCATACATAATAATTTAATTTCAAAGAAATAGTTAAACAATTAATAAAATAGTTTAATTTAATGTGTAATTCTTAATTTAATATTAAATTATTATAGTATAATGTAATTTTTATAGATTTTTATAGACTTATTGAGACGTTAAGACCTTTATGATTTAGCAAAATTTTGAGAGCATATTCAGATATCTAAAATATCAAAAAGTCTACAACAAATCCATTTACATATAATTTTAGCAGATTTCGATAATTACTTTTGTAATTTGAGGAAAACTTGATAATTTTTTCAATATTTAACTTACGATATCTCGCTAACTATTTGTCAAAAGAAAAAGTGGTCTTGCTTTATTTAGTCTCAAGAATATATTGTAACAATAGCACCCTGACTTTTGTTAATTTGATGATTTTGAAATTTCGAAAGATCGATAACAAAAAATAGAGCATTATTGTACCAATATATTTTCGAGATCAAATAGAATAGAAAGGTCTAGTACCATTTTTATCCCGACAAACAGTTAGTGAGATATTGTAAGTTATCCTTAAATATCTCAAAAAATATTAGACAAATAAAAAAATGTTTCAGACAAAAGTTGTTCAAATTAATTGGTGGAAAAAAACGGTGTAATAAAAAATTGAAATTTCTATTTAAGATTTTTATATCGACCTTGATAACGTTTCTCAAGGTCATTCCAAGGTCAAATAATTATCAATATCTGATAACTTTTTGTAAGCCCTACAACTTTTGTTTCAAACATTGTTTTAAACAATAATTATTTTTTGAAATAATTAGCCGTTCTGGAACTTTTGGCAAACCCTGTACACCACAGTTGTACAGTCACAGCATCTGAAGATGAACATAAAATAGTCTTAAATATCACATCGGACTATGCATGTCATCTTTAATATTTTATATAATTTTAATTTCAATTTCAATTTTAATTAATTTACTTTATAAATATGCCAAATTTATTAAAATCAGGAATGAATGCGGATGTTCCTTATAAATAAAAAAAACTCATGCATCAATAGTCGGTTATATAATTTATATTGTATCTAAATTCAAATTTCATTTAAATTTAATAACAATTTTATAATTATTATCAAACGTATTGATATGTGTAAAATAGAATAGCAAAACTTGTCAAAAACCAATCAGATTAGCATCTAGAACGTAAAAGTAAAATACAGTATATAACTGCGAGACACAAACAAACTACAGAAATCACATTGGTCGGAATTCACAAGTCCCTACTTTTAACCTAAATAAAACAGTTTCATTATCCTAAGTGAAACAACAGATTAGAGTTCTGAATTATCAATGAGCTTATCAATAAATCTAAATCTTTCATTTTTTTTCCCCAGGGCTGCATTTATAAGTTCCTGGAGACAACAAAGGACCACCTGATAATTCTAGGCGCCGTTGGACTTGGTCTATCCGTCCTTGAACTTTTCGGCATCGTTCTTGGCTCTTGCCTCTATATAAAGCTCAGACATGACTTTGACGACTGAGAATTGCTTCAATGCCGCGAGGGCAACAACAACGGCCAGTCGTGGTGCAGGTACATGCAAAACAGTCCGGGGACTGTTTGATCGTCGGAGTAGGGGCAGGAGGACGCGCAATTAAAACCGCAGGATCACTTGGATAAAAAGGATCCATTTTTAGCCGCGACTCTTTTTTGCGACTCCGCCTCTTTGCCCTACTCGTTCTCCTTCTTCTCGTATATTTTGAGAAAAATCAGTGAACAAAAATGATAGTAGCGAAAAGAAGAGGATGCTATCTCCGTCAACAGTTTGTCTCGTCTCCTGCGTTCAACAAATGTTCAAAGGAAACAATGATGGATTAAAGATAAAAGAACATAAAAATTGGACTCGATATTTTTAGATCGCGAAACGAAGGAATAAATGTGCATTTTTATTGTTGAATCTGTGCACACTAGGTCAGGTTTAAGATTCATAAGACTCATATCGATAATATGAGTAACAATAATGAGAGCGGTGTCATTACAAGATATATATGTACTCTGATAATATGGTAAATTCTTAATATTTTTTTTCTGATGTCTTTTTTTTCCTTAAATTCTTTAAGAATTTATAGAAAAATTCTATATGAACGATTCTTTGAATTATAGTATAGTATACTGTACAGTACAATATACAAGGTGTCCGGTAATTAGCTGCTAATCCGAAGTATGAGGGTAGATTGGGGCGTATAACTTAGCCAAATCTAAATGAAATGCTTCGTAAAAATTTATATTTCTTCATTAAATATTTGTAAAACTCTCCCTAAAATTTGAATTTAATCAGAGTTATAGTTTCTTAGAAAAAAATTCCTAAATTTACTTTATTTTTAGCGCTCTGAACCATAATGCCCCCTTAAATTTGTGCCGTTTCCATTGCACCGCGATTCTTCGTCTGCTGTGTTCTAGAGGTTAGGGAATATCGAAATGGAGAATTATACGATGCAGCAATATGTGCGTATTGTACAGTGTTTTTATGAAAATTAACGTTCGATAACGCAAACAAAACGTAAATTTTATAATTTTTTAACAGAAAACATTTCCTATCTGACAATACAATTCGCAAGTTAATTAAGAAATTTGAAAACGAGGATTTAATATATAATAAACCTGCGCTTATACGACGCCGTAATGCTCATTTGATAGAAAACATCGGGCCGTTAATGAAAGTAAGTGTAAAATGCTCCGCAAATATCAATTCAACAATAAACACGTAATCGTTCACAATAAACACAATAACTAACTTTTCGTACGGCACTATGCAACAAATTTTAACAAAAGGCGTGACATGTCGCACAGTTCGTGAGATAATGCAATTATTGAGAAATTTCCTGGTCACGTTATTTCACGGAATGGTGACGTCAACTGGTCCCCAAAATCTTGCGATTTAACGCCTCTGGACTAGTTTCTTTGGGATTATTTGAAGATACGAGTTTACACCGATCGAGTTTAGTTTAATCCTGAAACTACGGAACGCTTATAGGAAAATATTCAACGAAAAATTGACAAAATTCCATCTTTTAAGTTGCAAAAAATTATTGAAACTTTACTAAACGAGTAGTAAAAAAAGTAGAAGCGGTTATTTATAATGTTATTTTTCATACGTAATTCCCATTCCTAACGAACACATCGGTGTAATAAAAATAATAATTTGCAGGTCATTGCCTTGTTTCATTTGTAAAACAAATCCTGCATCTCTAGTTGGATCACTCTGTATAAATAGAGCAGAGTTTGTTTTATCAATATGGTTTAAACACTTTGAAACGCAACTTATATTCAATAAAAGAATTCAATTCTTAGTAATTAATCAAAATAAAATCTCATTTGATCTCTCGTTCGACTGTACATCATGCGATTTATATATCTACTATATTATATTTCTGATATCGATCGAGTCTTGTCAAAATTACCTACTTTGTTCTTCTTGTAATGATGTCGCTTTCGTTGTTATCTTACGAAATGTTTATAGTACTGACAAATCACAACCTGACTCTTATGCTTTTCTTTCAAAGAAGCATAAAAAATGATAAAAACGATTTCAACAAACTTTTGAATAACGCAAACATGCGCGCAAACACATTTGCAGTTTACGTTAGGCTAATAAAATTATCTTGTACACGTAACCACAATTCACAATTAACACAGGTGATTGATCATATAAACTTCTTAAGTAAAATTCCACTCGAAAACACGGAGTGACAATTAAATCATTAGAATTTCAGTAATTTTTCGTTCATATTTCATTTATTTCGTTCATTTATATCGTTCATATAAAATATAGAGAATGAATTCATGTTATGAATTCTCCACTCTGATTTGTTGAGCAAATATTTTTATTCGAAATTGAAAAATTAAATCAATATGATATATAATCAGTGGAAGAAAGATTGCAACGATTTTATTTTGATGAATTTCAAATCAAAACGCACTCGATATGCAATAAAAATTTTATCTGTAAGTTAGATTATTTTTTTAATAATTCTTAAAAGATAAATTGGGAAATATTTAGAAAAACTTACATAGAATATAAATAATCCTAACTTTGATACATATTTATTAAGTTTATTTCTGAATAACGTAAGTTTTTGAATTAGGCGACACTCTCTTGTAATTCCTAAAATATTTTAAGTTAATGATATATGAGCAAAAAGTAGTAATCTGTTATCAATCCACCATAATCTACGGAAAAGCATTATACATGTGCTTTGATTTCTCTCATACAAGTATTCACTCCCCACTATCTTCCCAAGATTCTCGAAGGGAAAAACGTATGAAAGTCATATATTAAAATTGAATAACAGATATATGATAAACATATACTTAGAATAAAACAAAAAATATTAAATGTCATAATAATATTGACACAATTGATGTTATAAACACTTTTCATTTTATCTTCCATTGAATAAATAACGTGACTTTGACAATATATGTACAAAAGTTGCCTCAGATTTTAACGGCCAAACTGTGCCAGTGTGTTCTGTAAAAAAATAAGGGAAATAACGTACATAGATATACCCGTAGAAGCTTTATTAAAAATTTACAGCAAACAAATGGAATGCCGCAAATAAATAATATTAACGTTTATTAATATTATAATATTAATAATAATTATGGATTACCTGTCATACTTTTAAATCGTAAGCAAGTTAAATATGAGAACTGTTCAAAAAGTACGTGATCTAGTATAAAGATGTCAACAATTGTCATTGACGGATTTATTTAACTTCAATTGAATCAATTCTATGAAGTGTATATATGGTATAGATAAAGAATAATTCTATGAAGTATATATATGATATAGATAAAGAATAACTTTTTACAAATAAGTCTATGGGGTGATAAAAGTAATATTTGTGTGCGAGGAAATATTTTTAATTTTCTTTATTTTTTTGTTATAACTTTTTAATAAAACTATGAACATATAAATATGGACATATAAAACATTCTTTTTCTTATTTTTATTCATAGAATACACTAGCGCAGTTTAGCCGTTAAACTTGTATAGATATTATGTATAAAAATCAAAATCATGTCTTTCCTACCAATCTTTATTTTATCTTTTATATACATTTTAAACATAACTTATAATAACTATGCTTAAAGTAAGTAAACTTGAAATATCTTAGGAAATATAACAGAGCATTGTTTAATTTTACTCTGAACATTTTATTCAGTTCATTTTATTTAACGCATTTTATTTAAAAATTCAGAGGACGTTGGACTACCTTCAGAAATCGTAAAACGTAGATAAAATAGAACTGTATGCCATATCAGAGAAGAGTTTAAGAGTGGTCATACCGTATGGACTTTAGGTATACGTTTTCCGATATGCTCTTGAAAAAATGCAAGCTATGTCCGTTACACGTGGTAACGATAAAACCATTTGGTCTAGAGTTTGTTCTACTTCCATACAATTATAGTAAGTCAGATAATAACAAACAATCGATTGCTCTCATTGTCCATTGATCAAATTACGCAGTAAGATTAAGGCGAGCTAGATGCGATCTTATTTTACTAGCCAAGCATCCTCCTTCCATCTCTCACCCGATCCACTATCCATTAAGAATATATCAAATGCATTAGAACTTGGAAGTCTCACAAAAATGGAAATAAAAGCCAAAATTCAATATATTATTGACGGCATTAAAGACAAAAAGGCTAATAAATATATTATATACTGCAATACGACGATAAAAGGATTGTGACAGAAGTTTACACAATATAAAATTCAGCGGACTAACAGAAACAAGACGAAGCAGTAACAAGTGTACAAGTGTACAGCAAGAAGCAGGTGACAAACATTACAAATGGGATAATGACGACGATACCCTTGGTATAGAACAACTTTGTACATTTTGAATATTGACATAAGAGCTAAAGCCATCTACCCGCAAAATACGAAATTACTATTTACTCAACTCAATACTAGGGTTAATAAGATACTCTCGCAAAATCATATCACACAATGCCTTGATTGCATAACCGTTAATTGTTGAAGAATGGAACAAAGTTTATATTCAAAATTGGAAAAGAACATGCATTCAAACGACTCAAGACAGCTTTAGTAAGTGATTTAATATCGAAGTTGTATAGAGGTGCTACCAATATAAAGCTCCACACAAATACTTTTAAATATGACCTTGGATTATATTGCAAAATTATGATAAAAATAATCAACTTCATTCAATATTTTACGCTAATTTTAATAGGAAACCTATTAAAATCGAAGAGAAATACAGTAGTTATTAATTAGAAATTCTAACTATGATCAAAGTTCCGTATATACTGATTGAACATATCTTTTCAGATCATAACTTTAGCTACCAGTCGGTTAAAAAAGCAGAAGTTCATTTTTGAAAATGCAAAACGAATTATGAGGGACTGTGGAATAACGTTCTTATCATGTACATTCCATAAGTATTGTCGAGAAAAAATATAAAATATATGTCCATTACAACCGAATTAACACTTTGTGCTAAGTGGAAAGAATAAACCAATCTATCATTATAGTGTTCATCAAGTTATCATCATCAGAACAAAGTGATACAAAAATGTGAACAGTTCATTAATTTTTCATTTAAATGGAGCATTGGAACAACAGCTTTTAAGTTGTTGACGAGACGAAGGATGCTGTTGAAAGCTACACGATACTCTTCAGAAAATAGAAAACTTTCAAGAAACATTGAAATTACGAGACGAGGCAAAAAGAAATATCTTGAAAATACAAACAGAAAACCGAAAAATTTTCGAGAGGGTCAAAATAAATTAATAAACATTAATTCAGAGATGTGTCGCTGTTAAACGTATTCAAACAAGACTTAGTCTTAAAGTTTATTCAAAGTTTCTGGGACCATACCAGATAACTAGAATATTAAGAAATGATAGGTATATTGTCAATAGTCTAAGAGGACATGAAAGGCCAAAATACACCAGGCCGGTTATATGAAACTTTCGCCAAAACGTCAAGATTGGAATCCTGATATAAACTTTCTAGTGGAAGATGATAACGATGAAGACGTCAACGCCAAAAGCATCAGAGACAATGCTTAAAATAGATTCACTGAGTATAGGAACTGTGATAACGTCTTTTCTGGGAAAAATAGATTTGAATAAGGATATAAAAGAAGAGAAAGAAGTTCGTTCAGCCTAAAAAAAGTGTATACGACAGACGAGAGATATATTCATAACGTGTGCATTAATTAAATTTATTAAAATGCTTATTTTGCAACATAGAATCGCTCCTATCTTACCTATCAATCCTACTTCTAATACTATGCTATCTTTCTTTTTCCTTATTTACAAGAGAATTCATATGTATATTATAGCTATTTTATTTCCACAAAATTTATATAATTTTCGCTAATTAACACGCAAAATTATATAATAAATTGTTGAGAATTTGCAGAAAAAATTAATTAAATTTAATATAATAATATTATTAACTTATAAAGATATTGTATGTGCGTGCATATGTATGCACACACGCGCGCGCGCGTATATATCTATGTGTGTGTATGTTTATTTTCCATTATGCAATATTAAAACATACGCGCATTCATTATTAATATTTATATACGCACATATTGTTAATATTTATTATATGTATACGTATACGTGCATAAACAAGATAAAATTTAGAAAATATGTCTTTTCCGCCTTATTACGTTATTACCAGAAATCAATTAAAGTTTCAAAATCCTTTTCTTCCCAATTTATAAGTAACAAAACGCGGAAATAGTGGAGCAGATGATTAATAGGACGAGAATTCTTCTTTAACGATAAGATCGCTGCTAACTCGCTTCATGCTTACCGTATAATAATTTAATCAATAAGGAGACAAGGACAACTATTATTCGTTCCTTTCTAACTTACTACCCACATAACGTTTATACATAGCCAATCTGTGGATAACAAAATCCCATAGCAGATCCATAGCCTACTATGTCTGCATTAAGCTCATATTTTATGGACAGCGTCTGTTGAAATAATCTTATAGCAATTTCTTATTATATCATATTTTTCTACCAATTAATTTTAACATCTTTTATCTGAAACATTTTCTTATTTGCCTAATATTTTTTAAGATAATATTATTTAAGGAAAACTCAGCAACTTTTTCAATATTTATTTTACGATATCTCGCCAACTATTTATCGGAAGAAAAAATGTTATTAGACTGTTTTAGTCTACTTGATCTCAAGAATATATTTTTATAGTACCCTGACTTTTCTTAATTTGATTTGGAAATTTCCAAAAATCAATAAGTTAACAAAAATTAGGGAACTATTGTAACAATATGTTCTTGAGATCAAATAGAATAAAAAAGTCTAGTACAGACAAATTTTTCTTCCGACAAATAGTTAGCGAGATATCGTAAGTTAAATATTATAAAAGTCATCAAGTTTTCCTTAAATATCTCAAAACATTAGGTAAATAAAAAAATGTTTCAGATAAAAGTTGTTAAAATTAATTGATAAAAAAATATAATATAATAAAAAATTAGGATTTCCATTTAAGAAAAATAATGATCAGTGAATATCTCGAAAGTGGCGCCATCTGTAAACAAAATGATATAGTTGTTATATATCCCCTTTGAAATCATACAACTTTCATCTAAAACGTTTTTCGCCAAAATGCTTTGTTTTTTAAAGAAAAGAGGTGTATGGATGGTCTCAGACACTCTGTATTTATAATATAATTTTTTCAGTATAAATTTTTATTCGCATACAGCATTACGATATATATTCTAAACGTGCAAAAAATCTATGAGCATATACTAAAAAATAGTTATATAATATAAGTTAAAATGATGTAATTTGTTATGAATTTTTTATACTGTCTGATGGTATTCCAACATTTCCTTAATTCTTTACAACATATGTGAAAATCAAGATCATCCGTGTTATATGATTTTTTCTAAAAATTTACAAGTAAATTGTTAGAATCTAGTTATATTTTGAAATTTATCGAAGTAAAAATCACTGACTGAATAATAACCAATAAAATATCTTTAACATATATTGTAACAAATTTATTAAAATTTTCTGTACGCATTATTGATTTATTATTTATCATATTGATTTATCATTATTATTTATTCAAAAAAGTGGAAATAATGTGTCGAATAAAAAATTTATCATTGTAATAGTTTTACATTAATGTTCAAAAATGAATATGTATACAGTTATAAAATACTAGGAAAATAATTTAAAAAATTTCATTTTAATCGATTAACATGTTCACTTCTATAAATTATAATTCTATAAATTCTATAAATTTCTATAAATTCTATAATTTTTATAAACTTCTATAAATTAAAACTCCATTTTAAATTTAATTTAAACATTAATTCTTGTAATTATGAGTAGCAGTTTTATTTTTATTTTCATTGTTTTCTCACATTTTCATCTTTCATTCATTTTAAGCGAGATTTTATTCTAAACAATTTAAAAAACAACTTGCAATTTAGCTGTAAGTTGTTTATAATTCTTACTGTTGATTTCCGAATTTTCCGTGATATTTTCCGTAATCGAAATATCACGGAAATGTTTCGTGATATTTTCCCGTAATGAGCGGACTTGTCATCCATTTTATCATATAACGTGTCGTCAACTGTGACGTTAAACACATCCTAATTTTCTTCGCGGAATATATCATACGAACGCTCGAAGTAATCTTGCGCTGTGCGAAAGCACGAACTCCACTCGATGCTGCCATTACGAATTTGTATATTTTAAATTACTATGTATGAAGTAACGATTTACAATTGTAACAAAGCACCATGACAAAAAAGAAATTTTTTGTCGCGTAGCTTCTAACATAACGAAAAGATCTGATTGATCGAGTAACGTCGATTTTTCCGGCCATCGGATTACGCATCACTAAGCTTGGTTACGAATGTAATCCGCTAGAGCTATTTGTGTATGTGTGTGTACGAGTATGTAAATGAATGAAACGAGAATTTAAGATACCATAGGTAAACTCGTGACAGATTGATCTATATAGACAAGTCAAAGACAAATGTTAAAAAATTGACTCAGACCTCGGATAACTGTTAACAGTGCCTTGATGATATCGTTAAGTTCAGAGATATTTTAGAGTACGCAAAAGAAAACAAACAAAAGAGAAAAACAAAAAAAAGAGAAAATGATGTAAATTATAAAAAAAGGAATCACAGGAAGAAGAAAAACAGATTTTAGTGTGTAATAAATATTACACGCGTGGTATGTATATATTTATCTGTTGCTTCGCAAACAAGTACAAGCCTTCGCACATTATTTATATAATGAACACTTTTTTTCTTAACAAGAATACAATACAAAAGAATGAACGCCGTTTTGAATCGGCAATTGCAAGTCACGAAAAGAAGGTGACGTAATTTACAATCAACATCGAATCTCTGCAATTTTGTACTTTTAAATGGCAGCGCGTTATTAAAAATTGCGCTGCTTTTTGCAATTGCAGATTCTGCCGGACGCTGCGCTCAAAAAAGTTTTAAGACATATTTTAATACTGTATCAATGCGTCATATTATTTTCCTCTTAATATTATTGTCCCCTATGCTATATATATTGTGTATGTGTGTGTGTGTGTGTGTGTGTGTGTGTGTGTGTGTGTGTGTATGTATGTATATATTATCAATTAGCACCTAGGCAGACTTTATACATATTGTACATATCAAACGCTATTCTGTTACAAATAAATGTTTAAATCATACCTTTCTTCATATACCGGTCCTAAAGATATACCATTGACAAATTTTTTATATCTATGCAATACGATATAAATTGAATTGCTGAACACACTATATTATACAGAAAGATACATGATCATTATCCGATGTGTTTTCTTTTCAGCATTTTATGAATATCAGTTCCTGTAATTGCGTAAAAAAATTGAATACGTGTCAGTGATGTTCGATGGTTTTCTCTATTTCTCAATTTTCATTGAAGATAGCACGTTGCTCGCGTACTTCTCCATCGATTCGAGATGTATTAGTAACATGTCGTCGCGTGTTCCTAGAGCAACGAAAAACCAAGCGAGTACCGCAAACAAATCCTTTGACAACGTTATCTTCTCCCAACCATATAATTCATCTACATATGTTTCTAGTATCGTACTCTGAAACATTATCAAACACATATTGAATATTCGATGCTCTTCTTAGGATCGTCTACACGAGATAATAAAGTGTGCTATTTAAAAACTATTGCTACTTGCAATAATTCGCACTAGTTACAAATAAATGGCTGTACCAGCAGTTTAATTATTTTCCTTTAAGTTGTATCTTTTAATTTTTAAATGTTAGCAATACTTGATCAATATTGATGGTTGACAATTCATAATTATTAATAAAAAGTATCACATTTAACATAATTGAAAATAAAACTAGATAAAGATTTGTCACCACATCATTTTTTAATTTATTCGAGGTGAAACTGCTACAACAACTAAAAAACTGATATGTGAAACTTATGGAAAGAATATTGTGGTCGCGCGTGCGCGTTACCTATGAGAAATTGTTCTAAAAGTTTAAAAATAGTGATTAGCGATGTTAACGACAAGTCACGATTTAGTTGCCCAAACAAAAATAAGGAGAACATTGATTTGGAAGCATTAGAAGCAACGAAAACTTGGCCCAAATGTCAAAAGAGCTTGCAAAGTAGTTTACAGTTGATAAATTAATATCGTACTCTGAAAAATTATCGAACACATAGACAGACAATTATAACAAACAGTCACAGCAAATCACTATAGTCAATTATAGCGATTGAAATAATAAGAGAAGGGACGTCGGGAAAGAACGTCTTTTACCGATTTTAATCGGCTTTGAATATACTATAAAGCATCACAAAATATTAAACACATATTTTTTCTATATTTATATCTCGAAGTTTAGGCGTTGAAACAATCCTTTGAAGAAAAACAGACTTTTTCATTATTTGTAAATATTTCCTAAACTACAACATATATAAAAATGTTTCATACAAAAATTGAGTAATTTATATTCTTTGCAGTATTCTGTTCAAATTTAAAAAATGCAAAATAATTAATATCCCCCTTCCCTCTTTACTTTTACAAATTTTTAAGTTTTTGTAACTACAAAAATTGAAAAACATTAAATAATAAATTTATCCATATATAAAGTGTTTGGTAACTCATGTAACTAAAGTATATTACGTCCACGTAACTTTTCAAATTCAATCGATAAAGTATTATGTTCAGAAATATAACTATGAATCGATAAAAAAACGGGAGGATAAAATGACAAAAGACAATTGACAATACGGTAGTGATTATTGATTGATTATTGATTACTCTTATGTCGTGAGACATCTTTCCCCTACTACTAATAAGATGATAAGAACTCGCGCGGAAATATCTCACTACCTGCTTATAAAAGGCGACACGCAAGCCAAAGACACGAATTCATTCATTGATTCATTCACTGACTGACTCACTCATTCACCTTCTCACTCATTTTGACAGATACAAACATCTTCTAACACATTCTTAGAATTTGGGTTATTTGTTGCGATACATTACGACGTTCATTTTGCGAAACATTATTCTTAATTGTTTTATTTGAGGTGCGAAAGATCTCAACTGTAAAAGATACATATTAAAGATTTGGTATTTTAAATACTCGTCTCTTCTATTAAAGTCCTAAAAATCCTGTTTCATTCCGGTCAAATATACGTAATTCACACAGACTTGTCCATCCCAGAGTAAATTGGTTAAATCCATAGATCCGAAAAGGATAAATACTTACAAATGTGACGTAACAACAAATGTAAAGTTGATTGATATAAAAAAAGTACTATTTTGCAATATTCGCATTAATTATCGAGTTATTAACTATAGAAATCTGACGAATGAGCAGTCGCTGAAATGATATTGGAAAAGCATTACAGCCATTTGAGCCATAGCGCAACTCAATCGATCTAGCAACTATTGCCGGTGCGCGGCGAAATAAGACACAAGTAGTGACGTATTGCTTGTCTCTTCTAAAAATTTTATTTAAATGTTTTAATATTTATTATTTAAATGTTTTATTATTTGCAAAAAATGAAAGTCTTTTTTTTTTAAGAGTTGTTTCAACCTCTAAACCTCGAGATACGCGCATAAAAAATCTATTTAATTTCCTTTTATGCTCTACAACAATGCTCGGAATTACTTTCACTTTTCAGACGATTTTCGGAAGTTTTCTCAAAAAAAAAGTAGGGGATAACTCCTGAAAATCGTCAGAAATATAAAAGTAAAAGTAATTCCGAGCACTGCTCTACAACATAATATCTGAAGCCCATCAAAATCGGTAAGGGATGTCCTCAACTCTTCCCCTGTTGAAGAGTTAGCTATGAAAGCTATGAAAGAGAAGTTATGAAAGAGAACATCCTCAAATAGCTGCGAGACAAATCATCCTGCTTTACAACAATGTCAGGCCGCATGTTGTTGTTAAGATTAAAGAAACATTATTTGAGTTAGATTGGGGAGTTCTGCTGTATCCAATGTACTCTCCAGACATTGCCCCATCTGATTTTCATTATTTAGATCAATGCAGTACGATACGATGCAGTATGATCAACATGGTTCCGAAATGTCAAAGAAGTGCGAAAAGGAATGATGAATGAATTGCCTCAAAAAATAAATCATTTTATCGAGGCGGAATCAAACTATTATTCAAAAAATGGCAGAAAGTGATTGATAGTAACAGCCAGTATTTTGATTAAAATATTATGTCATTGTTATTAATTAATAAAAAAAGCTTTAATATTATAAGAACTTTTGCAAACTTAATATAATCTTACATTCAACCATATAGTTTCATTGATATCGTAGTATTGCATCAGAGCCAACTGATCGTTGATTTTCAATGATGCCTGATGAAGGCCTAATGTCGCTAAATAAAGCGGAATAGCAATCGCGGATTTCGCATGATCCATATAAATTTCTCGCAAATGATCGATATCGAGTCGCGTTAGATCGAATCTGAAAAAGTAAATGTTCTTATTAGATTAATATTAAATTATACCGAAAATATTTCTGTTTTGAAAATTACCGTACGTATTACATTACGTACTTATCGAAAATCGAGATGACGCAGAGAGCGATTAAAAAGGAAAACACATTTGAGTACACCTCGGAAAAAATCGAATAATTTGATACGAACTTTATTGAAGTATTAAAGAAGATATGTATCTGGAATAATAACAGATCGTATTTATTAATATTGTCAGTGCTAAACTACATACTTTTACTAAACTATTTACATTTTAACTAAAGTATTCAAATTAATAGGGATTATGTAAATATTCAAGTATATAAAACAAAAATATAAAACAAAAACAACTTTTCTAATGGATCATATTTTTTTATATAAATATGTTCTCATTAATCTATCATATTATAAAAGTATTAAAGTAAAGCATAAATGACAAATGAATATTAGACAGATGCAAAAATTTTGATGAATTACTCAAAGATGTTATGACTGACCCAATTTTATAACAGCACTTAATAAATATGTAGATGTATAATATATCCAAAGTAATAGAAAATAATAATGATGAGTCAGTAAAATGAGAGAGAGAAAGAGAGAGAAAATCGTTTTTACGTAATAAAACGTTTACGTTTTAAGTAATAAAATTACTTTATAAAATATTTATTTTTTTATTGCTTTTGGAAACCGATACAAGTTAATTAATAAAAATCGTAATAAAAGAAAAAATGGAAAGAAAATTAATCAGTAAAAATTTTAATTCCTATAAAGATGAGTTTTTGTTCGTGTTCTAACTCTTTACCATGCGATATGAATTACCAATAGCAATTATAATCGAACGAGCAGTATGATGATATGGCCTCGAACATTTCTACAGGGTAAAGAAAAAATATAGAAACCCTTAAAAATCTCGAAAACTATAAATTTTACAGAAGTGTTTCAGACAAAAGTTATAAGGCTTATTAATCGCTTTAATAGAAGAAGGTCCTTATCTCTGCTGATACACACACACACATATACACACATACACACCCATCACGCATACTTCATATTAACATACACATACACTATACACATGATGTGCAAAATCCAACTGAGCAACTTCCCCGTGGTGCACATGGAATAATGCGAATGCCGGCGGTGTCGCTAAAAATCTTGCAAAATGCAGGGGTGACTTTGAAATGCGACAACTCGGTTCCAAGGTATGATAAAACAATGTTTCTTGCGGCATTTTAAAGTGGAAATTTTCCACTTCGAAGCGGGTGTGATACCATTTTTATTTCCATCCCTGCTTTATTCGTGTGTGGCTACAAAATGAAATTTCCACAATTTTTTCACGACCTGATTTTAAGTCTTACAAGAAAAACAGTTCGATGAAACGAATAATGAAACCTCTTTAAAGTCGAGGCTTCACCCGTTAAAATGCGCCCTGGAACATTGTTCTATGACCTCCCCAAGCTGAAATATGGCTTTTTAAAAACCAGCAAATTTTGCAAGTTTTAAAGCGCTCCCCTAATTGTTTTGAGTAGTATACAAGGTGTTCCATTTTAATGTCCCACCTCAAATAACTCTTCAGTATTGAAGTTTCAAGGAAAATGATCTGAATAAAAGTTGTAGGGATTTAAGTGAGCTACCTTATGATTACCTTGACCTCTGTTTTCAAGGTCATTTGAAGGTCAACTTGCGTTTTTTAAACGGGAACCCTTATTTTTTATTACAGTGTTTTTTCTACTAGTTAATTTGAACAACTTTTGTCTAAAACATTTTTTATTAGACATTTATCTAATATTTTTTGAGATATTTGAGGAAAACTTGTTAACTTTCTCAATATTTAACTTACGATATCTTGCTGACTATTTGTCGGAAGAAAAAGTAGTACTAGACTTTCTTGTTTTATTTAGTTTCAAGAGTATATTGTTACACCTTGACTTTTGTTAACTTACTAATTTTTGGAAATTTCAAAATCATTAAATTGATAAAAATTAGGGCGCTATTGTAGCAATATATTCTTGAGACTAAATAAAGCAAGAAAGTCTAGTACTACTTTTTCTTCCGACAAATAATTAGCGAGATATTGTAAGTTAAATATTAAAAAAATTATCAAATTTTCCTCAAATATCTCAAAAAATATTAGACAAATAAAAAAATGTTTTAGACAAAAGTTGTTCAAATTAACTAGTAGAAAAGAACAGTGTAATAAAAAATAAGTGTTCCCACTTAAAAAACGCAAGTTGACCTTCAAATAGCCTTGAAAATAGAGGTCAAGGTCAAAGTTAAGGTCAGCATAAGGTAGTTTACTTAAATCCCTACAACTTTTATTCATATCATTTTCCTTGAAACTTCAATACTGAAGAGTTATTTGGAGTGGGACATTAAAATGGGACACTCTGTATACAGGGTATTTGATAGCTGATCATGCAGACGAAAGTTGGAGATAGATTGGGTGTAGCCGAGAAGAAAAGTCATGTACCATAATGTCAAATTGCCAATAGTTATCGAGTTATTAATTAAAACATGTGAGCCAACGAGCGCGTAGAGAACGGAGGGCGACCGCAGTAAGCACATAGACATTTGATACAGGCGGAGTCAGCGAGTGTCGATAGGCGAGCACGCGCGGCGAGGGGCAACGTAAACGACAAGAGGCGAGCGCGCGCGACGAGGAGCGAGCGAGCGCGAACGATGAAGAGCGAGCGAGAGCAAGCGACAAGAGGCGAGCGAGCGCGACGAAGAGCGAGCGAGCGCGAACGACGAGGAGCGAGCGAGCTATAAGGAAAAAGCTATAAAGAAAAAACTCGCTCGCTCAAATGTCAACGTCAACGTCTACTATCAAATGTCTACGTGCTTACTGCGGCCGCCCTCCACTCTCTACGCGCTCGTTGGCTCACATGTTTTAATTAATAACTCGATAACTATTGCCAATTTGATATTATGGTACATGACTTTTCTTCTCGGCTACACCCAATCTATCTCCAACTTTCGTCTGCATGATCAGCTATCAAACACCCTGTATATGACTCATATACTATTCTATCTTATTAATTTAGTAAGATGGAAAATTTGAAGAATCTTTTACAGAAAATAATAAATATAAAATAAGAAATGTAAATAAAACAGAACAATACGAATGATATATTTGGAATGATATTAACTCAGTATAATAAAGTATAATAAAGAAGTATAATAAAGGATAAAACTGCAATATCTTAAAGTGATACATCTTAGAAATTACACGCAACCTCCACATATTTTAAAATACAAATGATTCAGAATTTCACCCTTTGTAACATATCTTAAAATTAAAGAAATCTTATATGTTTAAGTTTTTATATAATTGTTTTTATATGATTTATTATTTTGATGTGTTTTTTATATAATTGTTTTATTTTTTATTATATTGCAGAATCAAAAAGTATTCATTAAAGAAAAAAAGACTCACCATTACGAAATGCAAAAGCGCCATTCCACCTAAAAGACCCTGAAAAACAAATCCTGTAGATTTCCAAAATTTCTGAGCGGTAATCGCCACCCTTATCAGTGTGTGTGTTCGAGTTCTTGCAAAATCGTGACCTTCTCTTCTTGTCATGTTCGCTATATTTCCCAAAGCATCATTTCTCAAAGCATGTTTCAACTTGTCAATTTTTACGGCACTAAAGCCATTTTTGCCTTGAATATAAATTATATCTGTAGTCAATTCCGGAAGTGGTACGGGCTCTTCGTACCTAATGCGTTCATTCTCCTCTGCTTTCTTCAAGATCTCCGTAATAGGTACCTCATTATCCGCTTATATGAAAAATTAAATTATTAAATTTATTTAATTAAATTATTAATTAAATAATAGCAAAATACATATATAGTGATAAAGAAAATAGAAAAAATCTTTCAAATTAGTTTTCAGTCACGATTACCGGAAATTCCTAACTTGGTAGAATAAATCTTCATCAATTCCTCGAACACATCTACGTCAAAATAATGCATGATAAAGATTTATTTCCTTATTACCTTGACTGGTGTTTTTTTTCTTTCTTTGCAATCCATCAGTGATATTATCTTCACCACTATAATGTTTGGGAGATAATCCGTCGATTCGATCACGATAACTATCATCCGCCGTACGAGATCGTTCACTGAATTTCCGTCTGTCGATCCGTTTACTGCGCTTTCTCCTTCTTCCTCTCAGCGATTTCGTCGCGATTTTTTCTTCATCCATATGAATATCGGAGTAGCGTGTCTTTCCTCGTGAGTGCTTCTCGATTATACGAAACTGATCGTTACTAATAATGTCCGGAGACTCAGTCTCTGTATCTTCGATGTTGCCTTGTCGCCGAAGAAAGCTCTGAGATGTTGAATGGAGAGTTTAATATTCAATAAGGCATTTTTTCTTTTTTTATACTGATCCGATACAACTCAAACTGACATGATATAAAATAAAGCGACGTATATGTCGGCGCGAAATACATTTATCGGTTAAGTAAAATTAACCGTTTCATCACGAATAAAGTTCGCATTTTTAAAATTCGCAATTTATTTTCACGAATGAATTTCTAATTAACATGATAACAAATAAAACAATATAGAATAAAATTTCATTGATCACGTTGCAAATATAATTGACCTAATACAAACTATCTTAGTTTCCTGGTTGTATGGTCGGGTTGAATCTTCCGAGCTGGTCCATCGTTTCTGCAACGACACGTTAACATCTTTCACATAATTATTGTTGTCTGTGCGAACAGCAGCGGTATCGTTCTCGCTATCGTTGTGCTCGAACGATTTAGCAATTTCTGCAGATCTTCGTTCGCAGGAACTTCGATTTTGGTGTGTCATACTAAGCTCCGACACATCCATCATTCAGCTGTCACTCTATCAGTTCAGCATCCAACTTGTAATCAATTTCATACGCCTGAATTCTTTGTTAAGATATTTGTAACAGAAAACTAACGAGCACATGAAAAATCCTTCTGAAATGTTTAACAGTCAAAGTTAAATCTCATGAACAACCGGTAACCTTATTGTTGCAATATGCCCTGTATTGTCACGAGCCGCCCATAGTAACGCTTTGTTTTCATTACGAAGCTCTGTGGAAACGGGTTGAAAAATCGATGCAGAAAAACCATTGCTTACAAATAAAAAAATAAAAGAATAAAAGAATTTTGTTGCTTGGAATATTATACTTTTTAAGGCCAATATTTATAGTAGTGGTTTGAAACTAGTGTAGAAAAAATATATTTTCTGAATTTTTTAGTCAAATTATAAGTATAATAATGTTATCTAAATAATATCTAAAAAGTCTCTGTTAATTTATTATATTAAATAATGTCTTTACAGCAGCTTACAACTTACATAAAACATTTACAAAACATGGTTTTTTCTTACTATTAAATAAAACATTGTGCTTTTATTCTAAGCACTCAAAAAATTATTTTTATACTTTAATGATAATTATTAAATTAAGATAAATATTTTACATCCATTTCCATTTAATTTTCATCAATCATGTTGGTATACATTTATAGAATTTCTAAATCACAATGTCGTATCTCTGGATGATTTTTCTGAAAATATGAAAATTACTAAAATGACTTATCCATTAATACTTTTATCTTTATAATTATTAATTACGAATTTATAGATTATTAACTTATGGATTAACTTTATGGATTAACTTTATGGATAATTTTACTTACTTTTAACTTTAATTCTATTCTATCAATTTCTCCACCAAGCATATCTACAATATTTTCACCATGTCTCAATAAAAACGATTCTAATTCATCAATATTCTGCATACTCTTTACTTCCTATATAAAATACAAAATATAATTCGATTATTATAACTATATTACTATATCACTTTGAGTATATTATACAGAGCATCTGACACAAATCATACCAATGTTCATATGCGTTTAAAATATATCAAACATATCAAACTGAGCAATAAAACTTCTATGATTTTCTTTTCAAATAACCGCGTAAAATTTTAATTATTATTAATAAAAGATTAGCAATTAGCAAGAGCGATGCAATGGAATGAACTCAATCATGCCGATAGAGTTCGTCCCACCGCATCGCGTGCTAATTCATTAATAATCTCTCGTTGATAATTTAAAATTTTACATGATTGTTCGTAAAATAATAACGTAAAGTAATAATCTTATTACTTAGTTTAATGTGTTTTACAAACATACAATGCGTGCATACAACATGAAGAAATAATATTGATACCTCCAACATCGTAATAAGATCATGCTTATCTAAGTAAGATCTTGTCAGTTCTCGTCCATCGAAATCCAATTCGGCTTTATATCTCACTAGGTTATTACCCATATCGATGCCTTTCACATCGTGTATGGCACGGACCTAAATTAAATGTTATGTAAAAGGAATTGTGAAGAAAAATTTCACAGAAACAACGTATAAATTGATTTGAAGAGTAATATTACCATTATATCCGCTTCTAACTCAGCATTAATCTTATCGAGATTCTCTTGCGATATACTTCTCCCCACAAGTGCGGCGACGTTCGAATAAATAATAAAAGACGCCACTCCACCAAGAAGGCCGCCAACGATAAGTGATCCAATAGCATCAAACATCGGATTTCCTAGATAAGAAGTCAACCCCATACATCCAGCTGCAGCAACAACTCCGAGTACCTAAATAAAATAAAAATTAAATATTTTGATATGTTGAAACATTTGATCCCTTATATGAAGTACGTTCAAGTCGTATTAAATATATTTTATGATAATTATTCGACATAATTTCCCCTCTAGTGTCAATAATAATTTCTAATAAAATATTTTTGACCACTTAATACGAATTTATTATCTAAATCTATCATATAACAGTCTTTAAGAAAGTAGAATAAAATGTACCAAAAACAATTTTGAAGAATTATATGATGTGTTATAGACAGAACTTTTTTTGTTTTAATAATACTATAGGAAAGTATAAACTATAAATTTAGAATGCGTTTTCTTTCGTTTTAATGACTTTTTTGTTTTGGAGATATGAATATTTAAAAATAAGCCTTTTCACATATTATTAATAAAAAAAAGTATTTTCTATTCTAGTTCAATATAACCTTGTGTGGAAAATAATTACTTTTGTATTCAAGTAATATAATCGGAATTTCACAATGTGCGTTAATTTATGCATATTTGATATTTGTAGATATCAACAACGACACGTCTTCACATTTTATATGTCGTCAATTTTATATATTGATTTTTTAATTAGTATTTTCCAATTATATCATGTAAGTACAAAAAACATTCGTCCTACATAAACGTAATGTTAAGATAGAATGAAATTCTTTTTTTCATTTATTATATAGGAAAAAATTTTTTTCAATACAGTTATATCTATAGGACGAAATATTATATTAAAATGGAAAAAAACATGTTTTGAAACTTTAAATTCATATTTTTGCATAGCATAGCTTAATTTGAACAATGGATTTGTGTTTAGAAGACAAAATTGATTAGACAGTATAATCAAACTTGTTTTGGAAATTTGTTAATAAGATCTTTTCTGTCACCACATCAATTTGAAATAAAAATTCAAGTCGTATAAGAAATTGAAGAAAATAACCTAAAAGCATAACTTACAGCTGCAAAATCCTCCATGAGTACGACATTCACAGACGGATCCTGTCCTTCCAAAACGTACTGCTTGAAACTTTCTTTTTTCTCTTCTGCACCCTTTCTTATAGAATGCAATGCTATCATCAACGTCGCTCCTTCAGATAACAAAGATCCACCCAAAACAAAATATGCCCAAAAAAAGGAATCTAATGGCGCAGGAAATAGGAGTCCGTGAATCCCGTGATATATGGACAGGCCTGTGCCGACACAGAAAATACCTACACCTGATATTAATGAGGAAACGTACTTCATGTTTGTATAACCGTACGGATGATCAGGATTGGGATTCTGTAAAGTTGTTTGAATAAGAAAAATTATGAGCTTGTTGAAACAGATGTTAAATTTTTATAATCATTCACCTGCACCGATTTGTGGATACCATATGCAAGAATCAGTTGATTACAAGTATCTGCTGCAGAATGCACACACTCGGAGAACATACTATGCGAACCAGTATATAACCAGGCAATTAATTTGCATAAAAAATTACTGGCATTTCTAGAAAAAAGAAATAGATTAATTGAAACAATCTGCAATTGCACATATAATAAATATATATTAAGCTCCATCATATTAGGTGTGTGAATTAATTCGGTCCGTCTTTTTCTTCCAAAAAAGTACTTTAACATAAAAGTACTTTAATATGAAAAAACATGAAAAAGTACACTAATCAAAGTATTTGTCATCGCTTGCTATTATTTTTTCCCATCTGTCTGACAGTTGTTGCATTCCGTGACGGAAAAACGACTCGTCCTTCGAAACGGTCCATTCATTGAGCTATTTCTCTATTTCTTCATAATTGTTGAAGTGCTGGTCCAAAAGCCCGTGTGCCATCGATCTGAACAAGTGATAATCGAGTGGAGCAATGTCTGGTGAATACGGCGGGTGAGGTAAAATGTCCCAGCCAAGTGCTTCCAAGGTGGCCTTCACAATCTTTCCAACATGTGGCCGAGCGTTATCGTGCTGGAAGATCACTTTGTCGTGTCTTTTTGCATATTCCGGCCGCTTATTCCTCAATGCGTTGTTTAAACGAATCAATTGTTGGTAAAGTTCAGCAGTGATGGTTTGGCTCTGTTTTAATAGTTCATGATACACTACACCTTTCTGGTCTCACCATATACAGAGCTTACTTTCTTGCTGTGAATATTCCGCTTTGGTATCGATATGAATGGTTTTCCTAGGTCGTTAATGGATTTCCTTCGTTTGGGATTATCGAAATATATCCACTTTTCGTTTCCAGTCACAATACGATGCAAAAAAACCTTTTCTTTTTTGCCTGGCAAGTAAGACATGGCTTTTCACCTCTCGATGTCTCTTTCTTTCAGTTCGTATGGCACCCATCTTCCTTCTTTAAATCTTCCCCTTGGCTTCCAAACGCACAGAAATTGTTGATCGATCAACATTCAACAATTGCGCGAGCTCATGTTGCGATTGACACGGATTTTCATCGATTAGCGCCTGCAATTCCTCGTCCTCGAACTTCTTCGGCTGACCTGGACGAGGTTTGTCATCGACACTGAAATCATCACTTTTGAAACGTCGAAACTATTCTCTGCATAATTTATGAGTGGGAGCACTTTCACCATAAGCTTCTATAAGTATTCGATGAGCTTCAGCGGCTGTTTTCTTCAAATGAAAACAGAAAATGAGAATTCCCCGGAAATTATGCTTTTTTGGCTCGAATTTTGACATTTTCGAATCAGATAAACACGATGTTATTGTTACAAACCTAAACGTTTATCAACTGAATATTATTGCCAGATATCAAAACTAAAAAATGTCTTTTGCAGACATTAGAGGTTAGAAAATTACATAGCAATTGACTGCCAGATAGACCGAATTAATTCACACACCGAATTAATTAAAAACACATTAGATACTCACATTGCTATAGCAGTCAATACTACTTTACCAGATCTTCCAAAAAGACCTTCCTTTTGTATTATTTCTGTTTTGCTACCAATCTCTCGCCTGTAATCCCTCAATCTTCGTTTGACGGTAAAAACATCTACAGTGAAGAATTTAAATTACAAACTTTGTATCAATTATTCTACCAACAGAATACTCTTATCATAGTAAATACTATCTATCTATACACATTACTATTATTTGTATATTATTTACAAATTTACTTTGTTGATAGATTTTTCGTTCAACTTCTTTCTTCAAACGTTCTTTCAACAAAACCTCTCGTGATCCCCATACTTCTAAAGCTCTGTAAATTAATAAACCCTTATTATTTAACTAAATTGTTACTGTATACCATAAAATTACAGCAATTTATTAAGTCCTGATAAAACTCTCTCTTACTTAGCTTCAACATCTTTCCTCCAGTAAACAGTAATAGGTGGTTCAAGCTCATATGGAGAACGTCTTTTTGTTTTTGGTAAAGTTTCTAAATCAGTGGGCTTCAATAAAAAATCTGACATAGCTCTTACAGGTGTAATAAAGTTACGTTCCAAAGAGGATGTTGATTTATCAACTTTGATTCTTTTCTTTGCTACAAAAGTCAAATATTAGCCAATCTCTTGCATTAAAAATATACACTGGTACTTAATTATCTTATCTTATACCTTTCTTTAATGTAATATCATTTTTTGATGATTCTTTGGATTCTGTAAAGTGCTTTTCTGTAAGTTTTGCTGTTTCTCTTATTTCTTCTGTTTTATCAATAGGATTAACTGGTTCTATATCTAATACTCTTTCTTTTAATTTACCTAGTTTCTCTTTATCTAATTCTATTATTCTCTGTTGAGAATCTTCAACTAATATTTTTTCAGATTTATCTTTCTTAGTTTTTGCATCATCAGATAAAAACCTTGTCATATTGATCCAATTATCATGTTTATCTATCTTTCTATTAATAAAAATCTTCTGAAGACTAGTAAAATTGTACATTTTATATTGAGTGCCATGTTTTGGTATTATAAAAATACTAGCACATCTTTTAATTAAACCAATCTGCAATACACATAGATGATCGACATGATTTCGACTTGTATTTCGAATAAAGTGCAAAAAATTGTGGGATCGATACATCGTAGTTCCTGTTTATCTTTCCTATAAAGATGCACTATTCTACATCACTTAACCTGAAAAGAACAAATCTAAAAATATTATATCGTAAAATATTTATACAGGAAGCAATCATATATAATAAGTAATAAAATATAATGTATAATAAATAATAAAATATAATATATAATAAGTAATAAAATATAATATATAATAAGTAATAAAATATAATATATAGTAATAAATATAAAGTAGTAAAATATGAAACATTTTACTTTTATAATTCATTCAAATTTTACTATAATAGAAATGTAATTTGTTATAAACATAATTATAAACATAAGTGTAAAGATATTTACCTTTCTATTGAATTAACCATTACACATTGTTACGTATTTATAATACTGACATTATCTTAACAATACACTAGTAGAAAAGCAAATAATTGTCTAACGCTGACACCTTAAGCTGTCAATAATCATATTCGCCGCAGAATAATAACTGCACGAATTGTCGGTAAGAAAGCATTAAGGGTATACAGGAGCTAGAGACCTAGCCAGAGAGAAGCTTGAAAGCGACCACGCCGGCGTTTTGGCCGACATGAATTTTCACGACTGATTTTAACGTCATCTGCGCCCATTTGTAGCCGGGAACTACGTTGACTACGCCCATTTGCAGACGCTGCCGGTAAAGTCTCTATTTAGTACGTGTCCGTTCTGCGCCCATTCATCGTATTCATAATCAGATCTTATATTTAAGACCGTCTTGAATACACGTTCAGATATTCTGTAGCCAATGAAATGATCTATATAGCATCTGAAGATGAACTTAAGACGATCTTAAATATAAGACCGGACTATGAATACAGCCCTTACTGGCGGTCGTGTCTGTAGTATGCCTATAATTGTGAGCAGAGAGTTTGAGCAGAGAGGAACGTGAGAGCGGCCAACACGGCGTTTTCGACGAAACCGATTTTCCGCACTGGGAAAAGGCGGCATCTGCATCTATTTTGAAAGAGGAACTACAATCCACTTTCAGGTTTCGGCGGTAAAACCTGCATATGGTGGCAGTCCGTGCTACATCTACTTTCAGGCGGTTTATGTCCGTGCTACAACCATAACAGCGTACTTGACAAGCACGGTTCCGCACATTGTTACGCGTTTATATAACACTAGAACACTATAAGTGCTTTATGGTGCTTTATGGTCGAGCTTTATGGTGAGGATAGGGTTGATATAGGATTATATTGTGGCAAAAGCGCGTTCCTGTATCTTGAGCCGTCTCCGCGAAGAAACTAGTTGGAAGACGCCCGCAGCCGATGAAATTTAATGCTCGCGTTCGCAAGGGCCTAACATTCTACTCGCGAAGGGACGCCATCGCCTCCCTGCCCCTCTTTTCACAACGGTGCGGATGTTTAACTCCTTTCTTCCTTATTTTTCGCGACAACACCCGCCGCGACGAGGTCCGAACGAGACAAGTTCGCTTATAACCAACGTTTATATCAAGAGCGCTTCTCGGGAACATTCCGCTCGAGGGGTTAGTCCACGATAGAAAGTTTCCTGCGACCGGAGGTCTGTGATTCAAAGTTAAATTGCAGCAAGAGTATTATTATCGGGCAGCCCTGAGACGGAATACCACGGGGTACTGTCATCCGTCTGTGACATTTGCCGTGCGCCTTTGCGATTATCGGTAAATTCAGTTTTCTCGATTGTTTGCGCGATTTCAATTAGCCATAATATATGGCGATAATACATGGCAATATATGGCAATAATATAAGGCTATAATATACGGCAACAATATATGGCAACAATATATGGCAACAATATATGGCAATAATATATGGCCATAATATATGACAATAATTCATGGAATATATTTTTCGTTACAAAAGTCAATGCAAATTTGCAGCATGCACAATGTAATAATAAAAGAGCTCTTTGTGAGCATTGAATCAAACGCTCACCGATGATGATATTGATGATGTCCCATTGCATCCCACTAGATCCACCAATGTCCGTCCATGTCCGCTGCCGCTCTCCATGTCCCGCAGCATCCATCTTGTAGAGCGTCCCACGTTGATTGCTACACTTTTCGCCACACTTCCGCGACGCGGTCGATACGCGGTATTAGAGCGGCGATATTTGCGTCAATTAACGAACGTTTTACGTCGACATCGGTGGAAACTTTTTACGCGCTGCGAAACGGACTCTATAAACTCAATCGGCGAGGAGCAAGAACCGTATGAAAATTTATCGACTCGTCCAATGGATTGTTACGGCGTTTTTTGCGATCGCGCCTGAAAAGTCGCGAAAATGCGGGAGTATCGATATCTACGAGAATATTCGCGAATGCATGCGAAGAAAAATTGGACAATTAGAAACCGGTCACTCCGAGGGAGCACAAAGAGAGAGAGAGAGAGAGAGAGAGAGAGAGAGAGAGAAAGAGAGAGAAAGAGCGAGGCAAAGTTTTCGCGCATGATAGTTCCGTCACGACTAAGCTTACGTTCGCGACACTTTGGCGAAATGAGAATTTAAGCTTTCTTTGTTAGCAGCGCGAGTAAAAACATGTATATTGATAACCGCGGTCGCGATATTCAAAGGCATGCGAGCGAGGATACCTCAAGCTCGGCATGCGCTAGCGCAATTTCTGCGCGCATTATACGCTACTCAAGACAATAGGGATCGTAATGAATGGACAATACTGCCAAATAATTCTACAGCCTGTTTTGGAAATGAAAGGAAAAGTAGCCAACGGTATCGGCATTTATGCATATGAATATATTTTACATGGACAATTGAATATTGTCAAATAATTGTCGTTAAATAATTCTGCGGCCCGTTTGAAAAATGAAAATAAAGCAGCTAATGACCGTATCGCGTTTGTAAATATGAATATCTCTTATTCAGATGACCGAACATCAAAAGAAAATCATTCGGTATTTTAAATCTCGTATGTAATGCAGGCTATTGATTAAGTAATCCCCTGATTGTTTCGAGCAATGTATTTTATTCAACGTCACAAACATACACATGCAAGAATCTATTTGCAATTCGCATTGACTCGAACGATATTTTTAGTGCCACATCCGTCATACAGAATACTGTTTCTCTTTACATTTTGACTCACCGAAACGACTTGCAGTCAGAGCCGGCCACGTTCCGCTTCAACTCTGTAACAAAAAATTCACATTCGCTCATCTAGATCAGACCAACGAGTGCAGGCGAGTAAAAGAGTAGTTTACCCTCTGCGATCGTAATTCAAGTCGAGTCGGAAATTATATCCCAGCTCTAGATCGCCAAGGGTCAAACAGAGGACTATAGTAAACTTGTAAACTTACCTTCAAGCCGACTCTGCTTGGCCCGAACCGGATCCTCCGGTGCGGCATTCGCGTCCGCCAGACTGCTGTTGCTTTCCGTAACAACTGAAACAGAAAAATAATTTTCCCGGTTGATAACCTGCGGTAGAGAGAGAATATCTTTGATCGGGATGAATCGAAAATACGGAAATATTTTGATAAGGAATTTTTATCTTTATATTTTTGTTCTAACATTGAAAATTTAAATGGGACTTGAAGCTCTCAAGAGAGCTGATGAGGAACAAGTTACAAAGGCAAAGGTCGTAAAGGGTTGAACACAGATGTGTAGGAAATTTGTAAACTTTACCTTCCGACCGACTCTGCTTGGCCCGAACCGGATCCTCCGGTACGGCATCCGCATCTGCCGGATTGTTGTTGCTTTCCGTAATAACTGAAACAGAAAAGTAGTTTTCCCAGTTGATAATCTGCGGTAGAGAGAGAATATCTTTGATCGAGACGAATCGAAAATACGGAAATATTTTGATATGGGATTTTTATCTTTATATTTTTGTTCCAACATTGAAAATTTAAATGAGACATGAAACTTTCAAGAGAGCTGATGCAGAACAAAGTGCAAAGGCAAAGATTGTAAAGAGTTGAACACAGATGTGTAGGAAACTTGTAAACTTTACCTTCCGGCCGACCCTGCTCTGCCCGAACCGGATCTTCCGGTGCAGCATCCGCGTCCGCCGGACTTGCTTCCCGCAACGTCTGGAATAAAAATTTAGCGTTCTTGGTTGGTAAGCTGCGGTAGAGAAAGAATGTTTGGTCGGGATGAGTGGAGAATATTCGCTACGATTTCTTTTCTTCATTGACATTGAAAGTCTAGATAGGAGCTCTTGAAAGAGCTGACGAAAAAAAATTACAACAAGAAGCGGAGACAACAGTTGTGTGCTCTCGGAAATATTCTTTTACGAATGGACATTTAAATTTAAATTTCGTAACGAAAGTAAATAGACTCGAAAGTAGCGCTGACCAAAAACAAAAAAAGTCGCAGTCTAAGAAGCGGTATGACGTTGAATATTCTACACAAGACCGGTATACTCATACAGTTGGGAATTATTCAAAATGTTTGATTCAGAACATGATGAATTAGAGATCCGCGTTCATGAACCGTTATCCGTCTCTGTCTGGATCTTTTGTATACAACAACGCAATAAAATAGATAGACAGACAGAGATTGACGAGAGTAATTGCAAATTCATAAAATGATGATTACTAGTCGGATGATGACGGATTGTGAATGCCGAGCGCGAAATTCCGACTTCTTATTCCCGGAAAATTCGTTAAACGCTCTCGTTATCGGAGACCTCCCGCATGATAAATGATACCACATACCTGGAAACGTGACGTATTGCTGCCGGCGCCTGCTTCCCCCGGCTGCTGGAGTCCTCCGGATCCTCCGGATTTCACTCACTCACGCTTCTAATGCCGATATTCGCGATTCGACTGTGCGGTTAATCAACGCGATGCCGACGCGATGCCGATTGAGTATCTCGAGGACCGACGAAATACATTTCTTTCAATTAAACACGAAACGGAAGTGACGAGCGTGTCGCTCACGGCTGCTGTTGATGGAATGAGGACAAGTACACGAGGTGCGCGAGTATTATAATATGAAGGGCAAAAAGTGTCGTCGCTCGCGAACCGATCAACACAATCAGCGCGATGTAAACATTGCGAGTCTCGGTGGCGGTTGAAGCAAGAGAGACTTGTCCTCGGGCGTCTTTTCTTTTCTCGAAGGTTCCGGGACGACGAGGGGAATGCGAGGTGGCCTTTCAACTGTACGCGACATTGATTTACTATTTATTGATTGATTTATTGATTGACTGAAAATAAAGAAAATTATTCTGTCGAAGCATCGGATATTTGTTAGCTTTATGTTAATTAAAGAGGAATATGTACGATTAGGAAATGTGTTAGCAACTAATTGTGCAGAGTGTCAAAGTTGTTGTGACGCCGCTGTCGGAGAATAATTAAAGGTCATGGTAGCGTTAAAGAGTGGAATTTCATCCCATGCGAATTTTGTCTCGTTCTTATTAAATGTTAGTCCTGTATAAAATGTCGTATTTAAAAGTATTGTTTCGCATTCATGAGATTTTGTCGTGAATTCTGCTTTGCGGGAATCTCAGATTGGATCGCGGGCCAATACTTTTCAATGCGACGGGGAATAGAACATGAAAATCTTGTATGCCTCTGAATCCGAAAACAATTAGGAGAAGAAGTGAATACTTTTCAATACGAAAGTTCGCATTTGAAAATTATCGATCGCCACTGCGATTGAATACAAGGTGTATTTGAAATGAATTGAATCCTTTTTAATGCGAAGCATTCACCACTGC